TATATATATATATATATATATATATATATATATATATATATATATACATCCTGATATTGAAATAGAATTGAGTCATTAAACATTAACCGTGACGTATATGTAAGAATTATTTAACTCACCCACTCCAATAGATTTTTCCTCAATTTTTTCTCATCGTCTACCATTTGTAACATGTCATGGTAAGTAGCAGTAGCAATTCCAATATCCAATGAGTCTGGATCTAAAGACATTTTGCATACCAATTCGTCGTGAGAGAATACACAAAACCGCCTTAAATTTGAATAATGCGAAATGCACTCCCTTCCCATTTTAAGCTAATGAAAACATAAGAATCAAATACAATTATTTAAATAAGATAATATAAAGTAGTATTTTAAACGAGTAAAAATTATTAAATGATGCGTACCCAATCTGCTGGTGCAAAATTGACAGCTTCCGCAAAGTTGTAGCCTTGATTAAAACCTGCATGATACGCTCTTGGAAATGTAACAACAAATTCGCCAGCGTGTTGATCAGTTCTAAAAACTGGTACTCCTATCAAATAAAATAGATATTTTTTATGATTAAATGTTCCTACAAAAGTATCAAAGCAACAAAATCATTTATATAATTTACCTTCGCTCGTTAAGATATTTGGATTCATAATTGTTACCAGTTGATGTAACAAATCAGGTTGACTGTGAAATAATTCAGGAGCAGCAGATTTCATGGAGTGTTCAAATTTTTCTGCTTGAGAGCCAGGCACGCCATACCATGTCTTTGGCTCTCCCCAATGTAAATAATTAATGGAGTAACTCCAATGATCTTCATTATGCCAACAGAATGTTGCGAAACACATGCCAACGTACATCCATGGGACTTTCATGCCACTGATGTCTGCATTAATATGACCTAATACACTACTACGTAAAACTGGTAGATTGTTTAAATTCCATGAAGACTCTGCATATTCTTGATCGCACATAAATAAATTAACACTCGTTTTTGTTGGAAATCCAGAGCCATGATCCATGGTATGTAAATCCGCGCCATATTCTACTGTCACATCTTCGTCGATGGACGAAACTATTCTCCAGAATTCTTTTTCTACCAACGTGGTGGGAACCATCTATAAAAGATAAACAAAATTTAATTATAAATGTTCTACTACAGGAACAATAAATATTTTAAACATACATGTACTGGCATGTTAAAATAATCGCTTTTGAATTGATCCGCCATTTCGCCAAACTGTTGAAGAGTGTACTCTCTCTGCGCTTGCTCGAAACCAAAAGCTTCCATCGGTTTAGAAACCTCCTCTGCAACACATTTTGGACACCTCCAATCTCCCTTAGGTATTTCTGTTAAAGGTGGCATTAAGCAAAATGTATGATAGCTATCGTCACAGCCATCACATAGAAGCATATTCTCCTCGTTGTCTCCTCTCCCACAATTATGACAAATGTATTTTGCAAGCTAAACAAAATAATATGTTTAATAAATACTTTGTTAAAAATAGTACTGTGCATTGTTGAAAAACAATAAGTTCACTTACTGGATCAAACTCGTATGTTAGCTTAACTCCTCTAGTTTTGTTGGATTTCTTTGGTTCTTTGGTATTGAAACCAGCCATTTTTGGACCGGCTCCATAAAATTGTAATTTCTTAAGCTCCTTACTTTTATCGTTATCTATATATCTGCCTCTAACAATACCCTCCTTGCAGTCATGATCAGAGTCATATTCTTCTTTACAGTCTTCTTGTTTAATACCAACTTCTTGTTTTTCTTCCTGGCCAGAAAATCTCTTAGAACGACGCGAAAACTTTTCAGCCGGTGGTTTTATCTGTTGTCTTGAAATTATTCCATGCGGCTTGTAATCACGATCTCTTTTTTCGGTTTTTTCGTCAGAATCTGGTTCTATTTTCTGTAAATTAAAATACAACAATGCAAATGATTTGTACGCATAAAAATATTTGAAGTAATATACTATTCAAGTATTATAAAAAAAAGCTTACAATATCAGTCAATGCTTTTCCTTGTTTAAATACGTCAAATGGATATAAAATTCTTTCATAGTGATTTTTTAAAATACTTCCAACGCTTCTTCCAGAGGGATAACCTAATTTGTTGGCAATTTTCGCCCATCTTCTTTCTTTAGTTACAGTTTCTATGCCTCCTATATCAAAGATGAAAGAAATATTAACATAATACAGTGAACAATAAAATAAGAAAAATAAGAGCAACAAATGGTACCTTCGTCTGTGACAATCTTATGCAAGGAATACAAATCCAAAGCTTTGCGCTCGACAAGAGGTATTTTTAACGAGGAACCTTGTAGTTCCCAAAACTTAGCAATTTGATCTAAGAAATTAAGTTTTATCCTAGTTTTTGCTTCCAATTCATTTAATCTTTGTATTCGCGGGACAAATTTGAATTTGTCGACGTCAACTGCAAACGGTGGTTGCCAATTCTAGAAAAAAGAAAAAGAAAAATAAATTTCAGTTATCAGTAAGAACTAAAAGATTGTGATAGGTGATGGAAGGAAAAGATTGATAAATGTGATGAAAAATGTAGAAAATAACGAATAAATGATTTCAAATTATAATTCGATCGATTGAACTATATATAAATCCACATGATTTCTCTAGACAGTCATTATGTCGATCAGGAAATGGTTATGGTTTATTCAGGGTAGCGTTGAGGGGGATTATAAAGAACGCCCCTTTCACGAAAGCACTATAGACGGTCCTGGTGCTTCATTTCTACTCCACAGTAATAACGTATGGCGTAAGACATTATCGCTAAGAACAAAATACAAATTACATTAAGATAATTTTTAATATATAAATAAACAATTGCATTGACATTTCTTATTGTAGTTAATTAAAAAAAAACAAGGACACATTAGTACTAAAAATATATTTTGATCAAGGAAGAAAAAAACATAGGTAAATGAAACGTAATTTCACAAAATATAATATTATCATATATATGATATATATGCTAGAGATAGATAAATATAATATATATAACTAATCATATATATATATGATTATATAGTAAAAGTAGAAGTTGAAAATCTTCTTAATAGATTTTATACATTTGATAAAATCAGCTTTTACACAGCAATGTTTCCAATAACGTGTAAATATCAAATAATGCTATAAAGTAAGACAATACTTGTCTTGTATGATAGAACAACGAATTGGCGAGAAACCCAATTAATCAATAAAACCTTTCCAACAGCTTTTATATATCGAGATGCTTCAAACTTCTATGCATTATTCATTTACTTTTTCTCTAAGGAAAGACGAAACTAGAAAAGAACAAAAACAAATTCGTAGGTGAAAAATGATTAATAATCTAAAACAATTTACAACAATTATTTATTCATAGAATATATGTAAGCACCTAATAGTAAGACGCATAAACCTTTGATTTGTTTATTTGAAATAAACAAGAATTGAAATAACAGTATGAACAACGGAACCCAAAAGTGCATTTTAAAGGGCAGACAATAAACCACCGTGCAAACTAACGACGCCCTGCATAACGACGTCACTCGTTCGAGTAAAATTTCCAACGAAATGGTGGCATTTGTTAAACGCCATCTCTAGAAACATATCATCCACCGTACGAATGTCTAATAAATTCGAGGAAGTAACGTTTTTAAAAGGGATGATAATATAATCGATTACGAGATGCTTATATCACGCAAATACTTAACTAAATTTCTTAACCATCGGCCAAATAAGTTTACCTTGTAACGGGAACGTGTAATTTCAACAAAGAAATATGGCACGACTCCTGAATCGGCCGACACGCGGAATATACATGAAATAAATTTATATGCGACAAATTTCTCTTGTAACAGAAGCATCTTTATTTACGCGTTATTGTTTATAATATCTTTTTCAAATATTTTCTCTCTTTTTTTTTTTTATATAAAATAATTTTTTGTCAATAATATCTATCAAAAAAATATATCAATAAGAATCATTCCTTTATATATATAGTTCATTTATGTATACAATCAATGCAATATAAATGACAAGAATATCGATTCAAAAAATTACGATAAACATCATAGAGAAATCAAAGAAGAAGCCTTATCGAATTTGTTGTAGAAAATAGACGATAAGATTTCTTCTAGGCTTTTCTACATGTAACATGGGAACTAGAGGTTGATATATTGTAAATTTCCGATTTGTTTTACGAACGCAGACGGCATTAAAATTTTTATATGCAAACCGATTAATAATCAAAGCAAAACGAAAAGGAGAACAATATCGTTTCAACTAAACTTGTCTTCTTTAATTTCTAATGGTCGCCATGATGCAACATGCACGCAATATACCTAAATGTTACACGTTTATTTATATATATATATATATATATATATATTTATTTTTGTTAATAATAAATGTCCAACAATCGAAACGTCTTATAATAATGTGTATTTGTTCGGTAAAGCACATTTTTCTTGAACTTTTCCTCATAATTAACTCGATAGATACAAAATGGTGGTAGAAATGATTTTTGGCGTAGATGATGGTATAATATTCAAATGAAAGAGACTTGTTTTGCTCGACATTCACACATATAATTTCAAATAAATTAATTGGTAAAGAAAAAGATAAACGCGTCCGCCTGTGCAAAATATTAGGAACTAAATCTAATTGTAAAAGAGTAACGAGTAAAGATAAACGAAAGGTGAGAAGAAAGAACGTGACTATGTATGCGTACGTGTCTCTACGAAAATGAGCGAAAGAGTTTATTTGTTGAGTATGCGTGTGAGAGAAAGAAATCTCAAACAAGGCACATCTTTTTTCTCACGAGTTTCCGTTCTTTTCTTTCTTTTTCGTTTGATCTCTTACTTAACACAAATAACTTTCTGCATTTTTGTCAATCATCTTATTTCCAAAAGAAACTATCGAGTTTTTCCCAAAGGTTTAAATTATTAAACATGGCGTATTATTATCTTCTGTTTTTTTTGGATAAAACCGTCATTACATTAAAAAGTTATAAGGTAAGAAAATATGTATTATGAAATATTATTTCATTCAATAAACTTTCAAATTTTATCATTAATTTATTATCCTTCTCTATTAATAATATGTAAGAAAAAATGTTAACAATTCTTGCTACAATTTGAAATGTGACGCATCAATTTTTGCGTAGTCCAAAATCGACGATTTGTAAGATAATCACAAGGATTTTGATGGCTGCTTGGCTTGTTCGTCGTAACAGAATATACAGAAAAACATACAAAAAAAAAAATGTCCGTTAGACAATCGAGTGAACGATATTACGATACGAGGAAATGATCATTCGGTTTAATATTTGAAGGAAAATGAAAAGAATAAAATGTAGAAAATCACTGTAGATGATAACACGCTTCTTCATTCTTGTCTCGTCTCTCTAAACATTTTCTCGTGACATGTTGTGTTCTATGCGATGTAAAAAATGTACGGCGATGCGTTACGTGTTGGAAAGATGAATATAGGATATCAAAAAGAACTTGTTATTTTCATAGCAATACGTATTTCAAGTCTAAGATCGAATCGAGGTCGTAAATGCGATCAGAAAGGTGCAAGGAAAGGAAAGAAAAAAAAATATAAAGAAAAATATCGATAGAACAGCACACGATTATTTCATTCTCGCGTAGGATAGGTATAAGTTGAAAAAATAGAAGAAAACAAAAAAAAAATTGAAACGTAAAAATGTAAGATTGTACGTGACATTACTCACGGGCGGAGGTTTGATTTTACAGATGCCAGATTTCTCAGCGATCGGTCTTATTTTAGCGATATATCCAAGAGGGTCGAGGAACTCCTCGGTGCTCGGCTCGAATACAGGAGCTTCGGGTGGTATTGAGAACTCGAAGTCCGAGTCAGCACGATCGCAGGCCATGTCCTGGCTACGACAACAATATGCACCAAAACGATCCTCGGAAGCAAAGTCGGAAGTAGCGTCGTGGTGCCTTGATACCATGACTCCTTACTTCCTTCCTTCTTTCGATCGCACTATCTTTCTTCAGTCTTGCCGTTCTAGTAAATTCAATAAAATAGAAAGAGAAAGGATGAGACGACAGTAACAACAATGACCGATAGACGGTCGGTCCTGAGGCACGTTAAAGACGCGCCCGAGTCGCCGATGCCAATTCTTCACTTTTGCTCTTTCTCTTCTCTCTCTTCTCTCACTTCTCTATCTCTCTCTCTTTCCCTATGCCTGCCCGATTCTTTTTCGTCGCAAACCAACGTGCGCTTGCGTACACGTTACTTCCTAAACGATTTTACAAAATCGCACGAAACAAGCGTTCCTATGATAAACATTCTTACGAAGCACCATCTTCTCTCTACAATGATTACACGAGCGTGTATACTTGGTAATGAACGCGAAAAACCAATAAATGGACACATGGGCGTAAACTATATTCGACATCCGACACGTAGCCTCGCACACGAGCGACTGGCCTGCTTCGCGTTTTTCCAATCTCGGCTATCCCCACTCCGCTACACATAACGTCGACCCTCCTGTACATAACCTACTGCTGCGCCATCTTTATATACCTGTGCATGTATCTGATTCGTCTTTCCTTCCCGATGTTGGACAAAACCCGGTCGATCGTGTTTTCTTGCCAAGCTTCTTATTGCTCAATGTGCTTCGGAAAGTACTCGTCGATTGTAATTGGATCAATGATAACTATGACAATATAACATTGGCTGATTTTGTTTTTTGTTTTTTTCTATTGGTTCAAAGAAATATTCCCTTGAAGTTGGCTCGTTCTAAACTTTCTACTGTATTATGGTATTAGATATTTTAATAAATTAAATGTTTATCCTAAAATATCACAAAATTGATTAATAAACATTTATTAATGTAAAATAAATAACATATGCGAATATATAGCGTTTCTTCATATTATATTTACAATTAGAAATCATACAAATTTGAAACCCTAACTTGATTTGAATATAGTGCTTCTCGAATCCAAAAAGTCGATTAGAGTGAAGTCAATAGTATATTGAGATAGTGCAGTCCTGTGCTTCGCTAGTAGTTTCATCAGGTAAGTATTTATGTAATACTAAAATGATTTTTAAGTTATTAAATGTTTTAACAAAATATATAATCACGATATAACACATATGTATCAAATAAATAACAAATTTCATATGAAATAAACGTATAATATTATATCATAATTATTTGGTTATGGTAAATTGTTCATTTTAATTTTTTCTTCAGACATTCTTCAAAATGGGTTTGGATTTTGGAAATTTGTACAAATTAAGAGGGATCGTTTATTTCCGTCTCAGTCCTCACGAACAGAAGGCTTTTAAGGGTGTGATATCTGAGGGTATTCCAAATATCATCAGACGTTTCCGAAGCAGTGTATTCTATTATGCACCAAGTACGTTAACTTATCTCTATATACTAGATGATACATTATTGTTTAATAAGATTAATATGATTAATAATTAGATATCATAAGAAATAATTAAAAACTGATAAAAAAATATAATCAAAGTAACATTCAGTACAATAAGAGAGAATAATATATTATCTTTATATTATTAAAAATTTTCTTTTTCAGCATTAGGCCTTAACTATATGATATACTTATGGGCCAAAGAGTTGGATCATAAACTAAGCCGTAAAAATCCTGACCTGTACAAGGATGACGTTTAAATTACTTATAAGTTAAATTCAAATTGATAAGTAGTATAAATTCTCATCAAAGTTGTTATAATTTGTACAATGATTAGATGAAAGTTCCATGAGCGTATAGTTCAATAAATTAACTAATTCTTATTTAAATTGTGAATATAAATCCATTATCATGTTAATAGTTTTGTATATTATCCAATTTAATAATTAATATCTTTGAGTCCTTTAGATTTATATAAATTTGTCCATATTTTCTATTGTTAGTAAAAAAGGAACTTGTAATTTAGTCTGCAGCCGCGAGATGGTGCCAAAAGAAGAAATAGGCCATTGACGAACACTGAATTGTCCGGGCCCGATGTTAACAAATTTTTTTCAATATAATTTCAAATCACAAGTTATAATAGGACGAGAAGAAGAAGAAACAGATTATATTTTAAATACAATATATAAAAATTAGAATAATGAAGAAGAAAAATAATATTAAAGACTATTAATAAAAATATGGATCCAAAGATATTACGATCCTGTTAAAAGAATCGATCGTGACGTAGTAGGGATCAAGGAATGAGCCAATAGAAATCGGTGTATCAAAGATCGCACCTTGGTAGATGAGGTAGGGAGGTGAGAAGAGCAGGTAAACCGCGAAGTAGAGAAGATAGAAGGATTAAAAGTAGTCGTGAGAAATTTTCAGTCGAGCATGGTCGGGTCGTAGGTGTTCATTCCTTTGATAAAGGTTTCTTCGTTTGTGTATGTGAGGGTGAGGTGTGTGTGGATAGAAAAAACTATTCTTAATCAAAACTAGGTAAGTCTAATTAGTAATAGTAATACGATAATATCTTCAGATAAATAATATTTCAAATATTTAAGTTGCTTTTGTTTCGGCAGCCATCCGTGTTTCATTTCCTTTCCTTTCGTTCCTTCGCTCACAGTACATCTATCGTCATCGGCTCGCGACACCTACAGTTGCTTGGAAGTTTACGGCAATACTCTACACTACCTATACTATCCTATACATTCATATCATTTCCGTGAAAGAACACGCCTAAATAAAAGCAATCAAGCTGTGTCAAGGTTTCCTTCTAAAGAATATCACTCTAACGCCATAACGGAATTCAGTGCAATCCTGAATACCTTCCTTTACGGAATTCCAATTGGTATTCCAATTAGTATTCTTTCAGAGGCACACCTGTTGCTCTCCGGTCTTCACTTAAGACTCCTTCTTCATAATTTTCCAATGAAAACCTAAACCAAATAATTTCCTTTCTTTTCTCTCCTTCTCTCCTTCTCTCTTTCTCGATTTAACATACTTATATATTTTTCTTTGTGTATTCACAGCTACAATAGTAAGTAATTTAAATCACGTGTGTGGACATTAGTGTATAATTTTTTTTTATCATCCATCTTTTATTTCCACTTAAAATGAAAAACCAATAGGGAGTGCAGATTGCTAACGTATGTATTCATAAGTTCATTCTAATAGATTAATTTTTTACCGATTGGAGGGGATAATTTTTCTTCCTGTCGCCGAGTATAGGAATATATTACTTTACATATAAAAAAGAAAAAACAATAAATAATTAGAAAAATGAATAAATTGGATGTATGCATAATTGCATGTATGATGTGTATCTGTATTGCAACAATACATCCGGATATAGAACATTTCTCGTACGTGGTTTTCATGCTTATTTTATTCTTCGTGTATTACTGTTAATGTTTTTTTCTTATAATTAAATATATAAGACTAAACAGATTGAAATATGCTGCGTTTCGGAAAACAATTCGCATTGTTATCTCGATATCATTATCACTGCAGGATGACTCACTAGTTTTTAATACGATCGATCAATCGTTCCTTTCTGTAAATCTTTTATCATTATGTTCCTTATATATTTTTTATCGATTTTATCCGATTAATTATTTTCAATGAAATATAAAAACTAATTCGTTCGCTTCTCCTCCTTATTACTCGTCAAACGATTACTTTACGATGATATTTAATTCGACAATTATTGATACATTTATATCTAGCGCTAAACCACCTTTAGTTTTATAACAATCATTATTTTTTCTCTTTCTCTTTCTCACAGACGCAAACACATGCACACATACACGTATCAAATTGTAATGCTTTTACACTCGATACTCGAATGTAAAAATTCTTATCTGTTAAAAGATACGGTCGACGATTTCTCTGTGTTAGTTGTAACACAATTTTACCGATTTCTACGTTCTATTGTAAAGAGAACAAAAACCAAAGTTTTGAAAAAAACAAAAATGATTTTCTTTATTTAAATTACAATTAAATGTTTATGCGTATTGCTTCTTTTTTTACTTAATGCAATTATTATTTCTAATAATTAATATTATTAAGGACACCTGTAATACGCGCCCACTAACATCTAATTGTAAGTAGACCTACGCGTGTCATTGCAGTCACTATGACATAGATCGAAGATACTCGCAATGATGAAAATGTTTTATAATAAAATACTCATCGAGAAGATTCTTTCGAAAGTTCATAAACACACACACACAATTTTGTCTTGTATAATCACATTATCAACTCGATTTAGAGAAAAAAAATCCTTCAGTAATAATAATATTGTAAATCTTTGCAGCATGACGTCATCATTAAAACGAAATAGACTAAAAAAATAAAAAATCTGTTACAAAATCGAGCACCAAAATGGCGGATTTCAAGTATTTCATTGAGCAATTATCGAACTTATAGATTAGTATAAAAATAATATAAAATAGTAAGAAGACGTGGAAGTAGAAAACAAAAAATCTATCGATAATATAATCATAATTATTTATTTTTTCCTTGCCTCCGGCTTAAGAGTGTCATATAGAGCCCGTATGACGTATTATATGCTATATATATATCTATCTCTCTCTATTTATCTCTCTCTACCATACTCCTGTATACTAGTTATACGGGCACGCAGTTGTCTTTTTTTCTGTCTTTTTTTTACTTCTTTCTCTAAGGCAGTGCAAATCCCTTAGCATGATGACACACGACGTGACACTCGATGACCTTAGGCAGTTTCCTACGCCGTTAAATAACGCATCTTCTCGATTTTATGCGCGCGCACTCGTTCTCTCTTCTATGTAAGAACACTTACGTATCTCAAAACGAACAATACAAACTTCTATTATTTATTGTTGCTTCGGGCCTTAGAGCCCCCCTGCAACGATCATTTTTCATTTTTCTTTCTCTTTCATGAAGTTTTTCTAAAACGATCATAAATTATCTTTGAATTCTCCCCTAGATGGTGAAAATAAATATTAAAAATGAGATTTGAGGAATGGCTTAAACTATATTTAAAATTTACTTTTGAATAACTATCGATAATTATAGTTATTAATCGTGAGGGCCTAAAGTTTTCTCCAACGATCATTTTTCATTTCTCTTTCTTTTCCATACAATTTTTCTAAAACGATCATAAATTATTTTTGAATCCTTTTGGATGGTGACAATAAATATCAAAAATTACGTTGGTAGATGGTTGCAACTATATTTAAGATTTACTTTTAAATAATTATCAATCATTATAGTTATTAATCGTGTGGAGTGCATTCGTTCGGTCCATTCACTGGAAAACTTGTTCAACACTCTGCAACACGAATTGGAAGGTATGCGAGAGGTACATTGCTAACTTTCTTTCCACTTCTTTTTTATTTTTCTTCCTTCATTATGTACGAGTATGCGAGCGCGCCTTCACGTGTGTGTGCTCGTGTCGTATCCATACATGCGTCCAACCACGAGGAACACGCTAACTTCTACTTATGTTAGATTTCTGTTGTTTACTTTCGATCGAATCTTTTTCAAGATCTAAACTTTCTTATTTCAATTTTGTTAGGTATGCATTTCAAACTCGTTTGAATCAGGTTTTTCTACCTGTCGCCACCTGCGTTAGAATTTTCTTACTATTTTTTGTATAATCGATTAATCGAATTATTAAAAAGTCAAAATTATGAATAAAATACAATCAATTATGCAATAAAAAGTATTTACATAACAGATACACAATCATTTCTTCGTCATTTAATTAACGTGTACTACTAAACGATCTATAAATAGTTGTTGAAAAAAACAAAAAAAAAACAAAAACAATTTAATTTGTATAAAATGTAATTGTCATGCAGCTAAATACAGCAACATAATAATAGATAACCCTCAGTAGTTATATCTGCGCGACCATGTTACGAGTAACGAGTAACGGTTGTAGGATAAATGAAAAACACGAAACTTCCGCATAAATTTCTTCACGTCTACGGGCAGTTCAGTCAATGCCCTTATGTTGCACATCTTGCATCTGTTTAATTAAACGGTTACTTGAGCGGAAAAAAATTAATGCTCTTTATGTGTCGCGATTTAAACGTTATGTTTTTGTTTTTCAAACAAAATGAAAATGAGCGCGATAATTTATTAACTTCTACCCCATTTGTATGAATGTTTTGGTTAGAATAAATCACGGAAAACCATTAAATGAATTCGTATCGATATACAATTTCATTTTCGCGAATTCTCGAATGAAATTGACCGGCACGATGGAAACAATTTCCTATTCGATGACTCCACGTAAAGTAAAAAGTTTAGACTAAATTTGTTCTCTCGGAAATAGAACGTCGAACGCGGTGTTTATGTCAAGTACGTTCAAGGCCGTGCTTATACCCCGCTCTCTTCGACACGCATTCCGTTAGTAAATTTTTCTGTTTGAGGTGTGCCTGCATATAGAAAAGATTACTTGGCTTCTTCTATCGAAGATTCTTGTTGTTGTCTCTGTCGTCGAGAGATTTCACGACGTTTGTTGAACACTTTAAGTTTCGATTCCATCATTTTTTTTATTTTTATTTTTCCTTCTTGTTCGTCAAGCAGGAAGTAGTAATTAGCATAATTTCCTTTTTTTTTTTCTTTATAACGACACGGCCGGTAAATCCGTTGGAAAAAAATCTCGCCTATGCTTGCATCGAAGTCTCCGAAATAGTCACGCCGCGCCGTAATCCGACTCGTCCGCTTGGATATTTGACAAATGTATACTTTTTCTGTAAAATGATTACTTAGAAAATAATGTATATAGCTGTAATATATGTGACTATGTTGAATCAGAAAATAGGTATTTGGAATTCGAGAAGGAATCTCTAACGCGCGAGATCAATTCACGTTAGAAACTTGTTTCACTCGTCTTTTATAGTTGATACACGGATCCCACTCAACATCCTAGCTTCTCCCTTCTCTTTACTCGCTTAGAATCATCAAAATGATTATTTACAAATATAAGAAGACATTTTTTAGTGTCAATTCGTAGTTGTAATTATAGTAGTTGTTTTTTTCGATGGGGAAAAAGTGAGGAGAGCTGGGTAATGGTCGAAGTGATATCGTATAAAAGGGTCACTCGATATACTTGGGATTTAACAATGTCTTCCAACGTTCTAAGGTTTCCCACGGCACCTTATCTTTCGCTAGTAAATTGCAACATTACTGCTACGAGCCACGCAGCAGTGAAAGCATTTGCTTAGAAAGAAGAACTTGCCCTATGACGGTCATTGTCTTAATACGCAATATTTTTACAGATATGTGTTCTTATGTATATACAAGTACTCACAAGAATTGTATCCGTTCTACCATATAACAAAACTTTTATTTCCTCGTCTATGTAAGTGTGTAATTATATATACGATGTATCTAACCATCTATTTGGAATGCACGTGTGTATTTGTATCGTGCATGTGCCTGATGTATGATTCAAGCATTAATTCCTGATATGCGATTGACAATGTTACGTGCCGTCAAATTATTTACTTTTATATCGACACGACAGAAAAAGATATTATCAAAGCACTTTAATTTACAATCAAGACAGATAAGAGAATCTCGAAATCTTTAAGTTTCTTTTCTATTTTCGTATTCTATAAATGACATTGGTAAAGCAAGTAGATAATTAAGTCGTAAAGTATAATAGAGATGTGACTATTGTTCTTAAATGGGATTTTAAATGAACCATAAATTCAACTGTACAAAACGATTAGTATATATTACTCTGAATAAGTTTTCAGCCATCTTGAATGAACCATAAATTGTGAAATTATTAAAGTAAGCTTTAAATAAGTTTTCAATAATTTCGAATGACCCATAAATCGTAATCATAAATCGAAACGTTCCAAATGATTATTATTACTCTCTAAATAATTTTGAAAGTTCAAATCGACGACATACACACCCGTGAAAGAAATTCAATACATGCCTAACGAACGAATTAGGCTCATTGGAATTTCACTTTGGTTACATGCTGACTTTCATGCGATACCAAGTATGGGTCCCATGACCCGATGCTAGCCGGATACAGCTAACAGACATACCGTTCAAGTATCGACCATCATCGAGATATCGAATCGTTATTTCGACGTTTGATAACAATATATATAATCAATTACTTTCATCATATCATTTCTATTATCGTTATATTCTATTTTACGATTCGATGTTTCAGGCAAGGTTGATCGTGTCTGAACTTCCAATATGCCATACTATAACAGCAGCCATAGTCCAGCAGTTTATAACAAAGGTATACAAATAGTTAAACACACGCACCAAGAATGAATATTGATAAATTATTAAATAAAATATTAAAATTTGTTCTTTACCAAAGATGGAGGCTCGAGCGGACCATCGAGTACTTCCGGTGGCCGTGGCAGTAGTACCGAACCACCTACCTACATGATGGAACATTTAGCAACGTTTACAGTGACGAAAGAGATAGGTATTGTTTATCCTGCTGATGGCATGAGACGTCTTTTGCAATTAGAAAAAAGTAATGGTATATGGAGCCAAAAGATGCAGCTTCGTTTGGAAAGAAATTGGGTTCTTATCATGGACAACGAAACTGGGGTATATTGATACACATTCTATTGAAATTGATAACAGTAATATAAATATAAATATTGATCGATTGTATTTATGTTTGAAAAAGGCCGTGATGGAACGATTTCCAGCTTCTTTGATCCAAGAACCAACCGCATTTACTTCGAGAGATCCAATGGAGATGTACAATAACATTTTGGTATTTTCGGTTGCTGACGATAGCGGCTCTCAAAGAGCAGAAATGCATATATTTCAGTGTCAGAGTGTATCTGCTCAAGACTTGGTAGAAGATTTGAAAATGCTTCAAATGGGGAAACTTGTACCAGGTGGTTCACCTAGGGGTCCAAGAGGTCAGATACCACCACCACCTGCGTTACCACCACCTGAACCACCATTGAATGGCGTTAATGTACGCGAACAGGTGTCTGCGTTCAATGCAGCCAATGGTGAATATATCACGTGACATTCTTTAACAAAGAATAACGATTATTATTATATGATTTTTTGATCTTACAGCCGATGGCCAGAATGATATATCTCGCGAAGAAAACAACGACGAGGTGTCCTCAACGTCGTCAGAAAAATATGAACGAGACGTAACGATATTGAACCATTGTTTCGACGACATTGAAAAGTTTATCGCACGTTTGCAATATGCCGCGGCAGCTTCGAAAGAATTGGAACGTCGACGACGTAACAGAAAATCGAAGAAAAGAAATCTAGGAGATGGAATGTTAACTATGAGAGCAAAGCCACCACCAGAGATGGAGTTTATCGATATCTTTCAAAAATTTAAACATTCTTTCAACTTGTTAGCTAAATTAAAAGCACGCATTCACGATCCTAATGCTCCAGAATTGGTACACTTCCTTTTCACGCCGCTCGCTTTGACCGTAGATGCATCTCACGATACGAATTATGATACGAATTTACCAAGTAAGGTTGTGTCACCCTTATTGACCAGAGAAGCAGTCAATTTGTTAATCAATTGCGTTACCAGCAAGGAAACTGAACTCTGGCATTCCCTTGGCGATACATGGCTTATTCCTCGCGATCAATGGAAAGGACACGTGCCACCTTATCATCCAATCTTCACGGATGGTTGGTCACCGGAATATCCCATACCTGAAGATCGAGATCACGATCACCTAGCTTCTCTTCTGAACGCTGATAAACAAAAAAGGGATGAACTTCCTGAACAACAGAATGATCCTTATTATAATCATCGAGATGTAGACGAGTCACATTACAGTAGCGAGTATCTCGAATACGATACCAGAGAAGAACGAGCTGGTACCGAATACTTTGATAGAAATTATGGACCAACCTCGGAACTTTATGCGAGAGAAGATAGAAACATCGATCAAACCAGAGCTCACAGTGACATATCGGTAGATTCGATTGAAAGGGCACCCAGAGGTGCTGCTATTGAAAGAGCTCAAGAAGTTTGGTTGGACGAGCTTGTAGCTAGAAATGCTAAAATCGTTCACGTTACTTATCCCAGAACAGCTAACAATGATAAAGAACTGACGGTTGTCAGGGGCGAATATCTGGAAATACTTGATGACAGTAGGAAATGGTGGAAAGCGAGAAATTCTAGGGGTCAAGTAGCTCACGTTCCACATACTATTGTTACGCCTCACAATGCATCACAACCTGCCGACAACGATGTATTTAATAATCCGTTATATACAAGTCGATATCCTAGACAAGGACACGGTTATAGTTACGAAGTGAGAAATAAATCTTTACCTATATTTTCATCACTTTAATTTCATTTATTGTTTCATACGAAACAATGAATTTCCATTAATTTGTAGGATTCTGAAATTGAAAGAACCAGTACTAGTCCTGGACCAGAAGCAGCTCATCGAACCCATGCGATCCCACCACCAGCACCCGCGGATTGGGTTAGAAAAGAACGTCTCGGGAAAAAAGGTGAATTTCGTTATTTTTAATAACGTCGTTATTATTGTCGTCGTTTTGAACAAATTGTCCTCGATACGCTTTGCTTTCGATTACGTGGACATTTATGTGTCTTGCATTAAGATTTCTTTGTCTTTTTTTTCTCTTTCTCTACCTCTTTCTTTCTTTCTTTTTTTTTTTCAACGTTTCTTTAAACCATAAGAAAATTATCTAATTACAAATGATCGGTGTTAAGTTTATTGCAACTCGCTATTATTTCTCTCTTTATAATGAGTTCTTTAAAAATGGAATAATACAGTAATGCATCCGTCTCTCACATAATATTTGATATATTATTTTATTTAATATCACTGTATATATATAATATTAATATAATATTAATAATAAAATGTGTAAGCGCGAGTAACGTCTAGACTGAACAATTAAAATCGTTATCGCTACGAGCACAGGGTGATTTGGCTTTTAATAATAGCCCTGGATAATGTGACAAGATTTTCTTTTTTATCTCACCGTTTATATCTCGTAGATAACCGTCTATTGGTTTTATTTTTATGTTTATATTATTCATTAATTACTGAAAGATATTTGCCTAACTTAAATTGGATCATTTTGCTTGCGTATTTATTTCATTACCTAAAATCTCTTATTAATTTTTATTATGATATATTATAATAAAAAAATATTATTCTCAAAGTTTGATAAAGTAATAACACCCTGTATATAATAATAAATTTCATTGTAGAAGATTTAAAAAATTGTTCTTTAATTAGATTCAATTAATTACTTGGGATATATCACCAAAATAATAGTTGAACAATGTTTTCCAAATTAATACAATTTAATTTAATCAACTCTAACCATTTAATTTATCTTTAAATATATGAAATGATTTTTTTTTAAATAAGTCAGTGTACATTAGAAGTAGATATTATTATTTAACAATTAATAGAAAAATGCGTTACTTTCGCGCGTTGACTATGTATGGTTATACCTTCTTTTTTTTTTATTTTTTTTTTAATACCTCAATAAAATAATTTATGTACGAAGTACGTACAAAGAATCTCGACTAACCAAATTTACTTTAGCAAAATAAAATAATTTGCACATAGATTTTTAGAATGAAAATATTGTAATGTAAGCTAGAGTCTATAAGATATTTAACGACCGGCTCTCATTTATATCTACATTGTGTCCTTAATAATTAAATGAGTTATTATTCTGTTTGTCTGTGCATTTATGGATACATTTACCAAGAATAAAAAAGAAATTACTGCGGTTTATGAAGTCTTTAGACTAAATACACGAATGAAATAATCATTTTGTAAGAATATTAAAAAGATAAAATACTTTACGTTTGGCTTACAATTAATTCAAAAATATTTACGATTAATAATAGATTTGGAATTTGTGCTTTAACGTGTTGTCTCATTTATCTGTATGTCTTTGTGTAAAGGAGCTAGTACAAATTACGCATCGATTTAAAAAAAAAATAGAAAACAATATGATAGAATGAAATAATGTATTGATTATCAATAAAATTTATCTTTTCATTCAGTAAATTACGTTAGGATATACTGTAATACATTTTTTTGAACATGTTTCTTGATATTACAAGTTAAGAAAAATAAATTTGTCTTTGCAATTAATTAGCTTATTCATTTCGTAATTATTGTCGAAATATATTCCAATAAATGTTGTGTTCAAGGTTTGGGAATGAGATCCGTCCAGTATTTCATTGCACTGTAATTAATGTACATCACTTTATGAACAAATATATACGTTTACAATATTGATTTGCCTAAATGTTATTGTACTGTCCATTTCCTATATAAATTGACGAGTGTTTTTTGTGGGATCAAATATTAATATAAGGATAAGAACAATTGTTTATTTGTTTAAGTGCTTTTATCAATAGTGAATTAAATGAGACTTTAATGTTTGTAAAATGTTAATGTATAATTGTATTGCATATATACAATATTTATAGAATAAATTAAAATTATATTTTATGCTTGCTTTCGTATTTGATAAACGTCCAAAGAAAAATATAATATGGTTTAACACAAACAATTGAAGATAATCAATTAATTTAGAGAATGTGACTACAACTAATGAAGTTTCAAATACAAAAAACAACAACGACGTATCCAGTAACACATCAGGAAAAGTTACAACGTTGAAAAAAAAAAGTGGTCCTGTAATTCTTATTCGACCATTAGAAGTGCCAGCTGTAAAAAATACATTGAAAAAAGTATCAAATGCACCAGTACCACCAGCACAAGCACCAACACCAGCAACAGCAACAGCAGGAGCAGCAACACCACCACCACCACCGCCCCTACCAGTCTTAACACCTCCACCTCAACCTTCTCCAGTTTTACAGACTCAAAAATCAACTACATCGACGAGTTCCAACAAATCAGAATTAAATAAAAATAAATTCTTCCCTGGTGAGTTTCGAGTCGAGACGTTACGATATAATTCTACATTATAATTATTATTCATATATAATTTAAGGTAAAAGTAATCAAGATCAAGTTCACGAGGAACTTAAATATGTATTAAACATGTTTAGAGAAAAGAAATTTACTCCAAATATTGTTGAAATGCAAACTACAGTTTTACATCAGTATTCAACTCCCCGCGAAGTTCAATCTTGGTTGACAACTAAAGGATTTTCAGATAAGTAAGTATAACTAATGATGAGAAATAAAAAAATATTAACAAAAGACTTAACTCATCGTTGATTTAACAGAGTTTGTAAACAATTAAGAGATATGACCGGTGCTGAAATATTTAATCTAACTAAACGACAATTAGAACAATATTTCGGCCCTGATGAAGGTGGAAAGTTGGAACAACAGCTTATCTTGTCGCGCAACGAATGTGGGGTAAGTTTAACGTTAACACGTTAATAGTAAAACTTAACAAATAATTTTTTTTATATTCTTTTTTTTCTTTTTCTTTTGGTTCTAATATTTCCAATTCTTTATTAGTATGAAACGACAAGGGCATCGGAATTAAAACAAATTTTCGAGAAAATTCGGACAAAGGGCAGAATAAATGAAACGTAAAAGAGACGATTAAATATAAGTGTTTATACATATATAGAAATATGTATATACGCGATAATTGACGCTTAAAAATAGTTGTAACTATTTTTAATTCTTAACAAAATTATGAAGTTCAAGAAGCTGTGATTTTAATAAAAATATGTAACTTAAGTAATAGATGCTCTAAGTACTTCATAATTTCATTGAAGAAAAATACTTAAAATAAGAAGTGTTCATTAAATATACTTATCATCTCTTGTAAAATAGATCGATAAAAAAAAATTTCCTACTCAAAATTAATATTTACTTTTTAATGTTAAATAAATTGTATTTAGAACGGACTAATCGTAACTTAAAAAATTAACGATATTAAATTATAATAATGTTAAATAAATGCCTATAGTAATTTAGTCAAAAAACAAAATGAGAAAAATGATATAAAATATTTAAAAATATGTCATATATATACTATGTACGAAGACAAGATTTTAAATCGACTGTATCAGTCTCACGAATTTTTTAATTGTTTCAAATTAAATACTTCGTTATTAATATCGCGTTATGTTTATTTTGAAGCTATCATTATACATTAATTAATAACAGACATAAATAGATATCCGTCTGTGCATATATCAATTCTTATATATAACTTTAGAATTATATATATATTTCGATATATTACACAGAATTTTTCTCAATACTTCTCCGGTCGGGATCACATCACGTGAACACATCGATGAGTTTAATAATAATAATAATAATAATAATAATAATAATAATAATAATAATAATAATAATAATAATGTTGTATAGAATTTTCAATTCTTAGCAAAGCTCTTTTCGAACACATCACCAAGTTATTATTATTATTATTAGTATCGGCTATATTTATAATATATTGCTTCCATACGAAGCATATTTAGCGGCGTTGAATAAAAACAAAAGCAGTAAAGATTTCAGCGTATTTTACGTACGTCAATTGTGCGTCAATTTACAATCTAAATTAACATTATAATAATAAAAATAATAATAACAATAATATTGTAATGTTAATCGATCAAGAAGAAACACCAATTGTTTCTTCCTGTTAATCGAATCGTTGAAAAATACAATTGTATACATAAAAAAATAATTTTTAATTTAAATGCAATTGATCTTATTTTCTGTTCTTGTTCTCCTTTTAAATTATACTACATGAATGAAATAAACAATGCATTTTTAAACGTATGCCATGATCCATGTAAAAGGCCTATAAAGTGTTCTTCGAATAATTTCTTTTTTTTGTTTTGGAAGAAGTTAGATACTATTATTTGTTCGTTTTAAATTTCAATTTTATGAATATCCTAAAAGTTCGTAAAAATGTTGTATAAAATTTGTCTAGAAAACTGGTAATCAATCTAAAAAATCGATACACAAGTTTCCATTTACGATTCTATTAATAGAGTGAGAGATGATGATAGATAACAGCTTCTCGATGATACAATGCTATGAATTGGTCATTCGTGAATGTCTCACACGTTTTTCATTAGAGATAACATTGGTTTTTCTTTTATATATATAAATATGACAATTATTATATATAATGTTTATCATTATTGGGATCAGAGTTATTATTATCAATAATAATAATAATTAGTATTATTATTACGGATCAGTACTACCATTTCTAATGTTTCAAAATGAAAATACTTTCAAGAGTTATTCTAGAATAACTTTTTTTTCTAGAAGAAAATTTATATTCTAATCACGATGTGATTTATTTCATTCTAATTTATCGTAGAAGAGTATGCAGGAAAAAAAAGAAAGAAAATAATTGACAAGCTGGAATGTGATATTATCAACCTTTAAAATTTATACAATGAAGTAACCGGAAAATGATACGTAAGAAAAATTATATTTAAAAGATTATTGTTTTGCTAATATGCCTTTTTTTCAATCGTTATATTGTTTCTCTTTAAACTTTTTAATTTATATATATATATATATATGTAATAATTGCACGTATTTGTAAATTGTTCATTTTACGAAAAGGACATATTTGAAATATTTTAATCATTTGATGTAAAAACATTGTTTGTGCGTAATGCATAGCTTTCATAGCTCACAATTATGAAATTTATTTTAAATAATAATAAATTTCATTGTTTGAGTTATTCGTACACAGCAGCTGCCACCGTTGTATAAGCTTCAAATAGAAGAATTTATATATCTATATATACTTTTCTTTATAATGTGTGTATATATTAATCATGAAAGTTCCAAGATTTACATTAACATTTAACAAATAAAAACTATATTTCTATCAGTTAATTGCGAAATATATCCTGATACATCCTGAAAGTGATGTTAAAATTTTAACAAATTACAGGCTTCATTTTGAAATCTTGGTTAATAATCGAGAAACCATCGAATACGATTTAAACAAATCACACATGCACCTTGTTATTAATTATTAATAATATTAATGTAAACTATATATATAAAACTGACTTATTCTTTCTTTTTTGTTTTTTTTCTTTGTGTTTTTTTAATATTTACATAATATTTTATTAAGGCTGCAATAAATTGTACTTATGCTCAAATATTATTATAAGACATAACATTACAACTATAACATAAATTTCGAATATAAAACAAACAATCATATTATTAAATTCTCTTCATAAAAACCAATCAATCATTAAACACTTGTGAATGTTGTATGTGAGACATTTACAACTCCAACGTTATTGATTTTTGCATACATATACATACATACACACATACAAATTATAATGCAAGTGTATATACGTTTGATATCGCAACAAAGGAAAATGTCTCTTTTGTAAATTTCTGTAAACTTAAGTGTACGAGGGTTGTATGAGGTCGTAATATGCTAAACAACGTCACCTTCTTTTGTCACATTTTTAAGGGAGTGAAAAGTTTAACGTTCATGGAAAAACATTTCATTTTTTTGTTTGTTTGAAGATGAAAAATCTACGCAAAAAGAAATCTTTTTTGTTTGTTTTAAAGTACACGAAATATATATGCAGTTGTCATGGGTAAAAGCGGAAGTTTACTCGATATGTCATAGATGACATAAAGTATCTTGTCAGTAATATAACTAAAAATAATATGTTAGAAATATAATTACGTTCGATCGTTCCATATCTTGTTTTCTATCCTGAGGAAAACGCAATAATGACTCTAAACGAAATTGACTAAGCAGCGGCGCATAATATTACATCTAAACGTTAGATATAAAATTATGTATTATAGCAATAAGTAAGAGAAAAAGAGAGAGAACAATAAGAACCATTAAAAAAATGTTTCCTGTAATCTATTTAATAAATAATAAGAATATAAGTAGAGCTTCAAAGTTGACCTTGGAAACCGAAAAAGTTTGACTAAATTATCGCATATCTTTTACGTCAATTGCATCACGGTATCTATCTATTAGAATGATTTAAAGTATAAGTCATTCTGCTCACACGAATTATTGATCATATTCCAATGTTTGAAACATAATGGGAAAAGAAAGAAATGATAAGAAAATAATAGAAAGAAAATCCAAGGCCAAAATGTGAGAAGCGACGATGAAAAGACGACGGAGCGATAATGGAATGACAATGGAGCTTGACAATGAAGCGATTAGAAAAGCGAGATAATGAAGCGAGAAATGGAAAGGTAGATAGATAGAGATAGATAGATAGAGATAGATAGATAGATAGATAGAAAGGTAGATATATATATACGTGTGCGAATGAATGAATACAAGTAGTATACAACCTACTGGATAGGGGCCTCCAAATCCTCCTTAGATGGAACAGACCTTAATCGATGAGAACACCAATGAAATCAACTAAACTTAGCTTAATATTTGGTGATTAGCAAAACCTATAAAAGCAGGCTTGGTAATTAATGTAGTATGTATATGAAAAAAGAAATAATATGTGATAGGAGAAGGAAAAAAAAGGGACATTTTGACTGTCTCTTTGATCATTTCTATCCGCCAAAAGCAATTCTGTGTGCTTAACTTTTTTTTACAAAATTACCAAAAACCTCCCGCACTACGTCCACCGGGTGGATTGTTAACACGAATGCAAGCTCTTCGTGCCTCTTCGACGTCCTCTGTAAAAATAAAAATACACTTCATATCTGTAATTACTAATAAATATTAGACAGAAAACCGTATCTTATTTTAATATAATAAATCCTAGAATGAAGAATACAAAAGTTATTAATTTTACCGCTGATAGAGAATGTAGAATCTTGTAAATTTCTTTGTCCTTCCAGTCGGGGACCTTTCGACGATGGTGTCATAATTGCAGAGTCAGGTAAAGTGGGTATGCAATCAATCGACGATAATTTCGGTTTCGGACTTTCATAAGTACCGTTCGTTTGATTATTATGCAAGGCGGCTGCAGCAGCTGCTGCTTTTGCTGCTTCCCTAGCCTTAGCAATAGCGGCATCCTCATCAGCATACTTCTTAGCTTCTGCTTCCGTCCGTGGTACACCTCTAGGTCTCTGAAATAAATATCAATGTACATTATGTATCGTATCATGTAGTACATACATCGATATCTTGCTTTCTAACTTATTTACAAACAATATATATACCTTCTCACGTTCTTCTATCATGTCATATACATAATTACAGAACGTCGGCGTTTCTACGTACTTTCCAAAACCATGAACAGCCTTTAATTCGCATTCGTCTACGCATACACGGCCGTTTACAATAACGTATTCAGGTACACCATGAACTTCCATACCCTATTTCAAAGTCGAATAAAAAGGAATTAAATAATGCAAATATATGGATTGAAATGTTGATGTGCATTAAGAAACTTTACCTCAAAAATATTAAAATCAACAGCTTGGACATGAGTCTCGGCAGAAATCGTACGTTTCCTGTTAGGATCCCAAACAACGATATCAGCGTCGGAACCTACAGCAATTACTCCTTTTCTAGGATAAATATTAAATATTTTAGCTGCGTTTGTACTGGTAACTGCAACGAATCTCATTGGATCCATAATTCCTGCATGTACTCCTTTTTCCCATAGTACAGACATTCTATCTTCGACCCCATTAACTCCATTAGGTATTTTCGAAAAATCATCTTTACCCAATGCTTTTTGTTCGGCATTGAAAGTACAATTATCGCTGCCAGTCAATTGAAGACCGCCCCTAATCAAATTCGTAAAAATTAATTCAAATATCCAAATTACACAATATATTACATAGAAATGTATAAATATAGCGATTGTATACTATCGGTTACCTTGACATCAGACTCGGCTAAAAGTTTTCACTTAAAATAAAATTAAAAAAAATGTAATATATTCGTCAATAAAAAATTAATTGTCTACATAAATGTGATGAACGAGTTAATTGAGTAAATACATAATTATAACAATGTAAACATAGAGACATAATAAAACAATAAAAATACTTGTGTAGTAATCGCTTAATTAAGTATATAACGTGATATGTGCAACTTCCCACGCTGCATCAATGAAAATGAAGATCAGTTGGTCAGACAATGTATCATAGTCTAGTACTAACTGTATCTTGCATAGAAACAGACACACGTAACACATTTTTTATTAGTGTCACTTAGAAATTCATGTGAAGAAAACGTATGAGAGAAAAGAAAATTACTACTTCAAGAGAGAAAGAGATATATATATATAGAGAGAGAGAAAGATCTAATCTTTTTTTACTTACTGAACCAAATGTTCGATTAGATATGCAGGTGTAGTCGAATCTGGCCTTAGAGGTGGACTAGTTACAAAACGTCTTGCTTTTTCAATATCTTTTCCGTATTGTTCGATACCATCGATACCAACATTACTTGCTAGAGTTTCTCCAAATACGATGACACCATCGCTTTTTTTCGCAGACACAACATCGGCAGCAGACTTGCTTGACACCGCTGAGATATACAGCGGACTATTCACCTAAACGCGATATTGATGTGTCTCTCACATTGAAATTATCATTATATTTTTCTTCTAACTGACGTCTATTCCATCAAATAATAATAATAATAATAATAATAATAATAATAATAATAATAATAATAATAATAATAATAATAATAATAATAATAATAATAATAATAATAATAATGACAACAATAATAATAATTAAGCAATAAAAAAGCATTTATCTACACATCAAAGTTAAAATAAAATGTACCAAAAGTTGGATAATAAGTGCATAAACAAATAAATACGTAAATGCATTACTTTTGTCTATTTCTGTGATCAGTGAATACGTAATACATGATAATACCGATTATATAATCTAACTAATCATCATTCCAATAATGTCAACGAAATGGAACACACAAGTAAAATTAAAATTAGCTATTGGCCGAGAAATTTCAGTGAGGAGCATGCTCAACAAATTTCGAAGGTAAAGTTCGAAGTAAGGAAACTTCTAAATATACATTTTGGCCCCGCACGCAAAACATAACGAGTAAGAAACGAGTTTTATGAGATTTGAAACGTCTGTAGGAAAGCCTAGATAACGGTGATTGGCCTATTTAACTAAAAGCTAACTTTCTCGGATGTTAAAAGTTAATTTTGTGTAAAGAAAGAGAGAAAGATATAGATAACTATCGGTTGTATTTAAGTAAGAGATAACACGCAAAGGATTAGTTGGAATAGGAAAAGTATTAGAAAAATAGGTCGAGATAATTGTTCTACATAAAATTGTTCTCTTCGGAAGCCGTTCATCGTATGTCAAGGTCACCGTGAAATCAATTTTACCGAATGGCTTCGCGACTCACCTTGTCAAATAATTTAAAAGTACAAAAGGTGTATTCGGGTCTGGCCTAAGTGGTGGACTTAAGACGTGTCCGGCTGCATGCCTCCAACATTTATGCGTGTAGTTGGTACCATCGGTACCGACAGCAGCTGCCAAGGTCTCACCAAAGACGCAAACACCGCGTTTGCGTGCAGCTTCCACGGCTTCTGCGCCGCTACGACTCATCACATGCACTACGTACAGCGGACAATTCACCTAGGCGTGCAAAAAGTTACTCCTCCTAGCTTGCGTTTCTAATCTTTAATATACTAGTACATCCGTACATATGTAAAAATAAAAAAAAGGAAATATATATATATATATATATAAATGACATTGCTTTTTCTTTTCTTTTTTCGTTGCTTTTATATAACATAAATATTGATGTATTTCTTGTTTATTTTTACTCGCACCCAACGCAAATAAAACAATGAAAAATAATTGCGCAAATATAAGCGATACTTTAAATGTTAACATAATAGAAAGAAGGACGTAAAAATTACTTTTATCTACTTACGATTACGTTTACTTATAATACGTGCATATATATAAGTGCAAGACTCTTACGTTACATAGGAAATGCGATACGTGCAAGAGATAAATAAGATACATAAAAAGCAATGAAAAGAAAATACGACGAGCAAGAAAATAAAATCAAATAAAAATTCTTTGACAAGAGTAAACTAATACGATTAAATAGACGAGCTAATGGCACGAGGAAGTACCAATGCATCGTGAGGCTTGGCTTAGAACTTTAGCATACCTGGCTTGCTATCGTGCAAGCTCTGGTCACCGCTTCCGCTTCTACTTCTTCAGGTCGTGACATTTCGTGACCTTCTGGTCCAGTTACTCCAGCAGCTAATAATTTCTTAGTGTTCTAAAATAAATACCAAAAAATAATAATTGTTTTTTCCTTTAATTAATTATCATAGTTTTATCATAATTTATAATTCCCAAGTTATCTACCTCGGCAATAATGTCGCCATTTTCAGCATGAACCATAGCCAATGCTCCTAATTCTTTACAAGCTTTGAACGTTTCAATTAAATCAACATCTCTCAACATGAAAGAATAAGTCATGAACATTTTAAAACTGTTAACACCGTGTTCTCTTGTCAGCAAAGTCATTTCTTCTTTGACCTGAAAAAGAAAAACAAAGCAATTATAAAAAATGACGATTAATTATTGCTGATCGTTCTAGATCATTCTAAGATCCATAAAAGTGAAAATAATTAGGATCAAGTAAAGAATCTCGAGATCAAAAGAATCAGATAATCTAGGAGATCATTTTAGATCATTCTTGGATCTATAAAAGTGAAGACAAATACGATCCAAATAAGGAGTAGTAATGAATTCCATTCATCCGATCGCAACTTATGCGATTTCCTCATCTTACATTTTAGTATTCAGTTAACGATCGAAGTTACGGTTACGAGTCGAGACTACTAGAGACTAGCAGAGACTTGCAATCACCGGATTGGAAGATATACCTGATTAAACTTCTTCAGTTATCTTTATCCGTAAATATTCCGAGTTGATGCACTCGTACTATCTTAGAATTTAAATATAAACAAATATAAATATGTCAAACCCTTTTCTTTTTCATTACTTTAATATAAGAATATTTATAAATGATAAATCAAATAAATTTAGCAAACATTACGTAAGAGGAAAAGTAAAGAGGTCGAATGAGATAAAATAAAGAGAAAAAGAAAGATTATTTTCTAAAAAAGGATGTGTCTTATGTTAAAGGAATAATCTTATTTTAACTGACTAAACGGGATGAGTATAAGCCGTATCGGACTTGACACAATGACCTCGCGAATCGTATAACCAGCCTATCTTAATACATTGAAAATACTCTTAAGATAGGAAAAAACTAATATTTCATTGCAACCAGTAAAAAATGACCCTGAAAGCCGACAATGGATAATTCTTTATCAGCGATTATATCCTATATCAGGAGAAATTTGTGTACAATATTTTATATTCTTACGTAAGAAGAATAAACCTAAATAAAATATTATATATATACATATATATATATATATAATTAATGAATATATTATAATATATTTAAAAAAAAAAATAAATATTACTTACTTTTGGACTCCAGGATGTAACAGCAACGTGAAGAGCATAATCACAGCAAACCTTCTCATCCGCAGTCTGTCTGTATCTTTCGTAAGCTTCAAGAATAGTTTCGTCCTTTTGAGGAAAGGCAAAATCGATAATCATCGTCGTACCACCGGCGACAGCCGCTTTGGTGCCTTGATAAAAATCATCTACCGTTTTGGCACCCATTAATTCCAATTCAAAATGTGTATGCGGATCTATGCCACCTGGCATCACGAATTTTCCCCGAGCATCGATAGTTCTTGTACCACCCGGTATAATAAGATTGCGACCCATTTGCCTGTGGGAACCACAAAACTATTTCTTTTCTATTCCAAACTATTCCATAATTTTTGTTATCTTTTTGATCATTCTTAAATAAGCCGCTACAAAAATAATCTTGTCAGTTAAATTATCGAATTTATGATACTATAAAGATTAAAACGACGATTCGGAATTATCTGCTTATCTAATATCGCAATTTCTAGACTATATGACTATTTTATGAGATAAGTCACATTCTCGAGCCTGACAAATCGTATTGGTTTAACACGACAATTGCATTATATGCGTTTGCTCGTGTTCTATTTATCCTTTGATAATAAAGGAAACTACCTTATCGTATCGTTGAATTTTTTATCGCGCAAATATTACGTCAAATAAATCGCAACGAGTAAACTTTTCCCAAGTGCCGATTTTATCTTCTATAATATTATGTCATTTAAACGTTACATCTTTTTCTTTCTATAAGTATATCGCACACTGTTTAAATTAGATCATTTTTCTTTATATACAATAATTGTAAGAGAAAGAAACAAATAATTACTTTTTTTTATTCTAAATAAAAATGTTTCACCTGATAATGCCATCCTCGATGTAAACGTCACTATCGATGATGCCATCCTCGTTGACAACTTTACCATTCTTGATCAATAACCGATTCTGCGCGCTCTGAAACAAAAATGGATAAAACAATTAGATCAAAATGTACAAAATTAAAATAAAAAATGATAGAAAGAAAATTCCAGATATAAGGGGGGGGGGGAAACAAACAAAATTCAGAATTCGCGATTATACTCTTACGACATATTTAATACAAATTCACGTATACATATATAGACGAGATATGGTTGCGCCCCCGTCCTTGATATTCGTTTGCTGGCTGTTTCGAGCACGTCCGGTTGCGTCGATTAGTATGCGCGCATTACTATAGATATAAAGTATTATGGCAGGGTATATCAATCGGTGTCCTATGTATGCATATGTATATGTGTTTCTATGAGAGTAGGAGGGTAAACGCGCGCACGCAACACGCACTTCCGGCCAATACCAAATTATAAGGGCGTACACGCATGCTTAGAGGAAAAAAGCATTCGATAAGCGTTGAACTAACTTGTTTTTACCTATTCTTATCTTCCTTGGTATCTTAAAAAAGGTGAACCTATATTTCTCGAGATTTCCAAGTGATAAACAGATTGATAATCGAGCATAGAAATAATTTTGAATTGACAGACAAATATAACTATTAAATTGTATGTAATTGAGTTAACTGATCGTATCTGAAATGTTATTTGTTAATTAACAATAAGATAAATGTATTGAAAAAAAATCTGGGGTGTTTTATAATTCATATTGATGTTACAACCTTCAGGAAATATTTGTCTACTAAATAAATAAGGATTAATGCTCGTTCAAGATAAAAATGATTCTTACGAACAATAAATAACTTTAATCTTGCAATTAGATATAAAGGATAATCCTACTTTCTCGAAAATTTCCAAAAAATGTGAAAAAGTAGCAACACAAAGAAGACCGACATTGAATGATGTTTATCGAAGATTATCTTTAGAATTTAGATATATGAATAAGAAATAAATACTTTTACGATTTAGGGTTGATTGCAGACGGGGTTAAATAGAAAGGGAGAATAATGGCAAAAGTGGTGGAACACACGCAAAGAGAAAACAACCCAGACGACTTTGTTCTTTTGAAGGGACTTTTTTTCACCGAGTACCATCATAGTGGTTCAACCGGGGAAGATGAAAGGGGGAGGAAGAACAGAATAAGGCAGAGGATGATGGTTGGGTGGAAAGAAGAAGAGGGAAGGTGCTGAAAAAGGACAATCTCTTCGAAACAACTGTTTTCGTCCCTTTAGGGGGGCTTTTAAAAGTGCTAGCAGGTTAGAACCTTTTGTTCTTTGATGTCCCTTTTCCAGACCAACTCTTCTTTCCTCTCTTTTGACATTGTTCCTTCGTCTCGACCTTTCCTCTCACAAGTGAAATCCTCGATACGATTTTGAAACGATTTCTAATTATATGGCAAACCATTTCCTCTTTGGAATACGCTTACTTGCTTTCTCCAATGATTGTCGTTCAACATGAACTTTTGCCCAGATTTTTCCTGTCATCTTCGAAAAGCTTTCTCGCTCATTAAAAAACATATGCGTTCCATGAGTCAGAGAGATCGTTTCTTACGATATTTTCAGCTAACTCCGAGCTTAAAATACATGCCTACGTAGTAGACACATAGACATAGCAGCAACAGCAACAGCAGGCATCATCCTTGGCGAACCCTTCGAAGAGAAAAAAAAAAAAAGAGAAAAAAGACTGAAAAAGGCTGACACGGCCGAGTCCGTGGGCTTTGTCCACTGAACACATTGGTAAAACAGATTGAAAGCCATAATCGAACCATTTAGATGCTGGTATAACAAATCAAATGCAATTTCGTTTCTTTCATTTTCATTGGAATAAATACCTTTTCTAACTCGAGATCGATGATTATATGTGCAGCCTTTGCGTGTTCCTCTTCGGAACACGATAACATGCCTGTTATCGCAAATAAATTGCTGTCATGATCGAATCACGAATCTAGTTTCATCGTGTCGGATCGTACCACATCACGGAGATAAAAATACTTTGCGCGAATTGGATTACGTATTTAGATCCACCTAAACGTTTGCTAACTGTGTGAACTGTTCTCGATCTATATATCCTTCTTTTTATCTTTTTTATTACCACAGCTTTAATTTAAATGATACAACCAGTTCTCGATCAGACTGATTTTATGTTTTATGAGAATCAAGCATATTAATCGTTTTCCTGACATTGTGCACACCTACATGTATCTCTATCCATATATAAATCCACGTATCATGTTAATTAAGGTCAAGAAAAGTAACTAACGGCTCTCTCTCTGTGAAGAACTGAAATTTTCCTTTACAACTTGGATTCTCTTTCCACGTTCCAATCCGATCGAGAGAACTAGGCTCTACTACCATTAATGAAGAATCTTACAAACTTGCTTGGTAAGAGCTAACTAACGAAGTGGTCCGCGTGCATAAATGTTTGTCCTGATTCTATCTTGAGGGACGAATTACGAGTAAATATTACGAAACGTTACAAGTAAACACTTGAAACGTTGCAAAATGATTGTGCAAAATGTATCCAAGATGTAAGCATATTACTCGACTTTTGTTTTCAAAGAAAATACATATGCATGGTCTTTCCGTTGCTGCAAAATAGTTGCACACAACACGTGTGCCATATTTTTCCACTTAAAAAATGCAACACGCATTGCGATGGTAAGAATCCCTTGACATTAACAAAGGACTAATTCAAATGAGACTCCTTTATAAGTTATATTTTCCTCATTCACGCGTGTAAATATGTAAATGGGTCGTAAGATGCCAAACATTCATTGTGGTTGGTCTAGTTTCGTTATGCTAAATAAAATAAAGTCCGGAAACAGCAGACACGGGTCACACCTGGGTTCCCAATTTGCTACTTTAAATATCTATTTATATTTTCTGAATAACGTTCGATCTATCAGAAGTACTTTCTACAATTTTTCAAGAAAATCTCAACGATATTGATTTTTGTTAGAGAAATTTCAAACAGCAAAGAAAAACAATTGTAACAATGAAATACGCGCGCGCGATTAAAAATTTTAATAATAATTGAATGTAATATTTACATGAATACGTAAATGACAATATTTGGTTTATTTAGAAATAAATTTTTATTTTCAATACTATGTTTGTCCTACTCACACAATGTTTAAAAAAATTTAGAATAGGATAAGTAATTTATACGAAGGTAGGCATAACGTCATTTACTGGCACGCACGTCTTTAATATATATATATGTATATGCATGTATACCAGGTAGCTATATAATCAGAAACCGACGCGTTTTTCCGACTTTAGGTCGAAGCAGTGTCGACGAACTATTGATTTGCGCACAGCAGAGCTCTGGTCGGTGTTCTCGGTGTTAGAGAAGCACATCCCAGTGCCGTATAATTTTCCAGGCCCATGGAAAATCCACCCACACAATTGCTCCTTACGTTTAACCCCTTCCCGTAATACACATGGGGTAGAAACGTACGCGTACGGAAAATCAAATCAGATAGCTACACTTTGAACTCAAGACAATTTTACATGCATGTATATATATATTTGCATGACACTCGTGAATTTTATTATAATTTGAATTGACGTAACTCGTAAAGATTGAATTCTAAAGAGGATAAGAAGAGGGAGTGTTTATTTATTATAAAAAAGAAATAATAAATGATACGATGTCAATGAACTTTGCAGAGTTTCCAACGTGGAAAAAAAAAGTAGGGAAAATTTATCGTGGATTAGGATCTCCCGTTATATTATTATACGATCGTCGTCCTCTCCCTCCTCCTCCTTCTCCTTCTTCTCCTTTCCCTCACCAACCCCTCCTTCTATTTTCTTTTACACTTATGGTGTCTGCTTCCTTCCACGAGATAGAGACTGGCGCGAGCACCAAGATACTCCGATCAATAAGCCACCAACCTTCCAATTGCCGTAGCGATGCGACAAAAATGACCATGTTTTTCTTTTTTTTTTGCCTAACAAAGCTAACCGTATTTTTCATTTTTTCTTTTTTCAATATATTAATTGATGATTTTTTGAAGGAAAGGATCGTTAGGATAGGAGACTGGACAACATTGAATTCGTGTTTTTTAACTGATAAATATGTTAATTATATGTATACTAAGGAGTATAATTACATTCAAATTAAGTCGATTAGTAATACGAAATCAAAAAGAAATAATCGAGAAGAATTAATCAACGATAACGTAATGTTATTAATTTTACCGTCGTTTCTTAAATTTTCATTATCAAAAAGGTATGGTTAACGATCTAATCAAACGAAAGAATTAAATTACATATACAATTTGAATACAAACTTAATCGATTAAAATGAATAATGATTTAGGCTATCGTTCAAGCCGGTAAAAACAATAACATAACGCGTATGAAGAAATTAGAATAAATAATCGAAGCGAGACGATTTCAAAGATAGATAGCGCCGTCTCTCTCCCTCACACCGTCAAAGAAAAAAAGAAGAAAAAAAAAAGAAAGATGAAGGATTCTAAGAAGTTGCCAAGTTCCCTCCTTTTTCTTTCTGTCCTTTTTTCTTTTACTAACCTGCAGGTGGATGGGCACCTTCTTCACCGGCGTGCTCATCTTATTAACTGCGGTTTTGGTATCTGAGAAAAACGTGTTCTTCTTTTAATGTATTAGAAATGCTAAGAGAGAAAGATTATTTAGTTACTTTTTACTTTGTTATTATAAACGTGAAAGAAAAAAATTTTCTATCACCACAGAGTCAGTTGAAAAAGTTAAAGATTAGAAAGATACACAGTTTCCCAACACTAGTCAGAAATACGACTGCGGAACAGTAGACGACGCACTTAACGTGCGCTCTTCAACCGGTTCCCCCGCTACTTTCCCTCCCACCATCACGTGACCTGCAAAACCGTGACGTTGCCTTCTAAATTACTGCGCGCGAATATTTAAATGATCGGTTCATATTTACCGTCAGATATAATCGATAATATTCCGCAGAATGTATATAGCGACATCTATTGATTTTATTTACTGCATTATCGAACTTTTTTGTTACCTTCTGTAGTAAATAAATTGGAATTTTATTTTCTTAATATATTTACCTCCCTTTTTTACTATTTTACATAAAATAACGTTCATAATTACTTGTGACTTGATTAGTAATTGTAATAAACATTTAATATCATACAATTGCTATTATTTTTTGTAATAAAAAAAAAGAGGTTATTCGGTATTTAATATCAATATTAATAATATTTTTTCTATGTCATATTTTTTTTGTGAAAACGAATAGAAAACTTCAAGCATGGATATACAAATACACATTCAAGATTTAGACCAGGAAAAGTCTACTATACATTTAATGCCATGTAAAATACATTTCGATGGACCAGCTAATGTTTCATCCTTTTTTCAACCATTCATACATGAAACAGATAATGAAAGTAAGTTTGCAAGTATTTAATTTATTTCTCAAAGATGCTAGACTAGGTATAAACATGAAATAACTAATACAATAGTAATATTTACTAGACTGTAGTATATCATTTCGTGGACGTCCACTCCAAGGAAAGAAAATCCAAATTCCTAAAGATTATAAAGGTATAATCTTTTTTGAACATAAAAAACCGGCTGTTGAAAACATACAACGTAATTTATATTCGAACAGCTTCTTCTCAGAATTTACATATTGGAATTACGACAAGATACCGTCTAAAAATGATGCCTTAGCAGGAGCATTAGATTGGATAGACATTGCAGAAGCAGTAAGATTTTCATTAAAAATAAATAAATTAATTATTATTGCAATTGTGGTAACCACGTCGTTGCATTTTTCAGCTTCATGGTACAGATAAATAGCAGAATTTTATTTTAAAAAATAAATTAATTTTATAGAAATTAAAAATTTTTACTTTTGATACAAAATATTCAAATAAAAAGATTCTCCAAAGCTGACTTGCAAATTACTTTATTCTATAAACGTTGAAGTATGATACTTGTATATTAATGAAGTGTACGCATACATATTTTAAATATCTTACAATTGTTTTGCTGTCGGTTAAAAGAGCATTTTAAATTAAATCTTATTACACGTTTAATCTATTCAACTAACCAAGATGAAAAAGATGCAAACCATTTTGTTATCAAGATAATATGTTTACAGTTTTAGAGCTTATTGAATTTTGCTGATATAAGATATTGCTACATATAATATATGATGTTGTACATTTAAATATGTTTGTACCTCTTTAAGTTAAAAATATGTAAATATCACCAAGAAAAATATCAAAATGACTGCCTCTAATCGTAACAATCTGTATCGCATATATCACTTTGTGTGAAATATATGATGTTATAACAAAAAAATCAATATATTAGATAATCAACATAAACTATAACATAATTATTAACAATGTATATAATTATTATATTGATATATATCCAATGAGCTGTTTCACTGATGTCTAATAATGCAATGTAATCAGTGACGATGATATTAGAGGTACAAAATGGTACAATCATATTTTCAGACAAAACAAGAAACTCATTCATATTTGTATTTACAATATTTGTCCCTTTCTTATCTAATGAAATCTATGAAGATATTCTATTAATACAGAAATTGCAATAAAAGCGTTGATAAAAGATATATATGTGATATACTACTAAGTTAATAAGTAGATGAATATCAAATAACATCTACTCTCAGTTTTATCGTAAAGTTAAGAATTTCTATAAGAATTATTTACAATGGCTTAAATAATTTTAAATCAAAACATTAATTCACACATAGACTCGTATCATATCGTTTGAATTGTTAATGTCTATTATATATGAATAACGAAACGTTACAGTTTCAAACAAAAATTGTAAATTTAACTGTCTAAAGCAAAAGAAATATACTTGTTTGTAAATTACAAGTACGTATAATCGATAGATGATTTGTTTATGATTAAAACATGATCGTACAATGTTCGATCCCGATATGTTTCAAAAAGACTTAGCATCCTTTTTTTTAAACTTTATAAGAAAGTAAAAAGGTTATAGATTTTATTTTGCTTATTTTTAAATAACGGATTTTTAAGTATCGGATAGCAGTTTTTATTTTTACATCCACTTTTTCAAATGATAAAACTCTTCATTAGAACGTAATAAATAGAAAACATTTGTAATAACTTTTACGATTTCTAGAATTTTATAAAAGTACATGTAAAGTTTCGAAATTGAGATAGATAGATATAAATAATTATTTATGGCAGTATCAATTAAATAGATAAATACTTAATATATTATCCGTAATAATGACATTTTTAAAACCCTGTACAAATCGGGACTCTAATAAATAAATTACTAAATATCAAAACACGTATCGAGTACGTGGTTTTATCATAGGCAATATAAAAAATGGTAATAAACAGTCTTTATCATTTGTCATATCGATAACAAAGATTCAAAGTAAATAACTTCTTAATATATGTATATTACGTATATAATATATATACGGTATGTGCTTTGGTTTACATAGATAACTATTTTTCTGTACATTTAGGAAATGACTAGTATTTTCAATACAGACATTGAATGAAATAATTAGATCTTATATTAATAAATATATGTAAATAACTTATGAAAATGTGCCTAATTCATTGGTCTGGTCCTGATGGTATTTATTCTGATCTTGTTGTTGTTTGATAAAAGCACTAAGTCTATTCAATAAAAATTGTTTATCGTGGCCCTCTAAAACTAATTGATTTTTTAATACTGTAACCATGTGCTTATTTGCTATAGACACCGCATAATAATAATATAAAAGCAAAATAAGAATAACAAAAGCTGGTATACCGAAGCCAGCTGTTCCTAAGAAAAAAAGTATAGATTGAAGCCAATAAGGAAATTGCGAAAATGTCAAAGTTAACAACGTCCAAACAGACTCTAAGCCTTTGAACGGGCCACAAGATTTTGAAGGCATAATTTCAGCAATGGAATATCCAACTGGAATAATGGCTAAAATAAAAGATACTAATAAAATAAACATAAAAAATGAATTGGATTGACTAGCTCTATACACTTTGCTAGACGGTGTACAATTAACTAAACAAGCAAACTTTTTTACATAGAACAGAAAAAAGGTACCAATTACAGCTACCATTGGCAATAAAGGTGCAAAAAAACAACCGAGCCAACAAATTGTTTGCGAATATACAATGTCCAATACATGTTTGGATAAATCAAATTCTTGTTCGCCTACGAATCGTAGTATTTTATTTTCTGTATGACGCGCTAAAAGTGATCTAGGGAAATTAATGAAAAACGTCATGAAGAATTGTATAAAAAAATCTGTGATATAAAGTTTAAAGAATTGCTGACCGACAAATGTCTCCCAGCAAAGCAGTTGCCTGCTTTCATTATTTGTACATTCTCCATCTAACACTCTGGGTGAAACAATTTTGTAAAAAGATGTTAATAATACAATCAAAGATGAAAGTCTTAGAAAAATAGTACGAAATAATGTTATGCGTATAATGAATAGAGGATTATAATTTTCTAAGGCTATTAAATATCGAAACAAAAATGGAACTGCAATATTGAGAGCAACAATGCAAATGTATGGAAGAAATTCAAAAAATAAATGAACAATCTTATCAAAAGGTGTGTATTTTCCACCGCTATTTTGCGCTTCTAAATGTGACGTAACTTGATCGAAAGAAAATTCTATAATGTAATAAATAAACGTACCACAGCCACCTAATACTAATAAAATGAATATATTAACTACAAAACGTAAGGCAAACAATTTAGTTTTTTCTTCTCGCGTACGGTTTTGCCTTTCTTCCTCTAATCTTTCTGCTTCTAAAAATGCTTTCATTTCGTTGTGCAAAGCCTTGTGTTTAACAGCTGCTGACTTTTCATTTTGAATACAATAATCCCATCCTCCAAAAACTAAATTACAATATTGGTAGAATTGTCCTTCGCCTTCCACAACTCTTTCTTTAAACCCTTTAGCAGCTGATCTAACAATTGCCACTAAGCTGATAATAAAAACTGTAATAATTGCACAAATGTATGATAATGGTAAATTGTAACGAATGGAAGAACCATCTGCACCATAGATTTTGTGCGTAAATGAGCCATAAAATAACAATGTGTGTTCTAAAATGTCTGCTATACTATTACTACCGTCAGTCGTGTTCCAATACAATTCGGAACAACAAGATACACTCGCACTACTGTTAGATGAACACATCTCCTTTTCTGGTTCTTCCAGCAATATCGTTGGCAATATAATGAAACAAAATATGATTGAAAATAAAACTATGTTTAAATACATTAACCATTTGATAAATAAAAAATATGCCACAATACCCATCCCAAAATTACCACCAATCTTTTTCATACTATCGTTCCAAAGTTCCATCTTGGAATAAGCCTCTTTCATTCTCGCACGGAATTGTTGCCAAACTTTCCTATGCTGCCACTTTAATTGATCGAATCCCTGCAATCTCAACTTTGTTGCGCTCTGAATAATATTAATTTATTTATTAATAAATATTTCCTTTTGTTTTTTTTTATTTCTAATTACATATCAAAAGTATTTAGTTAAAAAGTTGATTAAAAATATACCTGTAACTGATTTTTTAATTGTATTTTCTGTGTCATAGATACAGGCATAGATTTGATCTGCATTATTTCTTCCCATGTGCGTTCTTCGTTGGATAAATTCTCAGATAAATCCGGTAGCATAGAAACTGCTGCATCATGAATATTTGTAGACATACGTCTTGCAGTACTCGTACCACGAGATCTAGTACTAGTACGTCTTCTCAGCGTTGTTTTTGTATCATTGCATATGCGTTTAGCTGTGGCTGTAATTAAAGTATCATTTGTTGATGAATATTGTTTAATTTTTAAAAGAGGAAAAAAAAGGAATTACAAAGCAATCTAAAGAATTATAAATAGACATTTTGCTTACCAACACGAGATTTTTTGCTGGGAAGTAAAGTTGCGATATGAGAAGGATCTCTTTGCAATGCTTGTTGTAAATCTGCTTCTATAGCAGCAGGATAACTTTCTTGATAAAACTCAGCACCAGCTTCTTCCCATCCTTGTGCCCTATCACAGCCACGTTTCTTTCTTTCTCCACCCGACATTTTAACTTATTAAAAATACTTCACAGATATTATTATCAAAAGTTTTCCAACTTTTGGAAATATACCGATTCGTATAAAGTAGGCTATAATACTGGCAAATACTTAAATGCAATAAAAAGAGTTGTCATTATTGCATGACATTCAATCTTCATAATTAAATGTCGTGTAATTAGAGAAAGGTATATGTGTGCTGAAAATAACAAACCACAACTTCTATTTATCAATTAACACTAGTTTTCACTTAACAAATTCATTTATTCTTATCAACGTAATTAAACAAACAAGTAATTCACGGGAATTACAACATCATTCAGTTTAAGCGATAAGATAACATTATATTAAAAAAGGTTCTAATCAAAATAATAAATAACTAATCAATGAGAATTGTGTAATTCATACGCATCGAGCATAAAATTTGATATCTAAGCGTTCTCGGATAAACGTGTATAAAAATATATGCAAAATTATATACAAAAAGTTTAGACCTTTGTTATAATTAAAGTATTAAATTTAATCATACCGTTATTTATTTTTTACTCGATTTCTCACATGTCTTACTATCATAAATGACTATGAACTTGAGCAAATATGGAACAAAGTAACGCAATGCCATCTTGTTTTCGCCATACGTCAAATTGATGACGAAAGGTAGACGTCCAACAAAAAAAATATAAAGCTTTTATCAAGAATTTCGTAGAGAGGTGACTCACTTGCTTGTAATCATTCGTAGAAAAGAGAGAACGCGTCAGCCATTGAATAGCTTATTCTGTGACGCCATTTTAGTTACGAAATTTCAAAACTTGTTCTGACTAGTCGATACGTCAGCGCGGCAAGCCTGTTGATATGCTTCAATATTTGAATGTTACTTTTTACTTTTAAATAGTTTTCTGTGTATCGATAAAAATTATTGTTAAATTAATACAATAAAAGAAAAACCATGTGTTTGTTCATTGCAATAAATAACATATGTGTATATAAATTTGCATATATATTCATATACATTGTATCCTGTTTTTTTCTTATAACTAAAATAGATTATTTTATATTGATTGTAAACATTGTTAAATAAATAAATGTTTAAGCAATAAATTAATATTCATTCGTCTTCAGAAAAATAGATACACAATATTTCTTATAGTTATAACTTCGATTGTAACAGTAAGAGATAATAATTTACAAAAAAAACGATTCTTGCTGATTGATTGAATATATATGAGTATATAACATTAGTTTTAGAATATAATACATGTTATGACATGCACATGTTGCGATATCGGTTATACAATATTAATTCATTACTGACAGATTACTATCAAGTCGGGTTAGATAATATCCGAAGTGATAAACAACAAAGTAATATCAGAAAGAAAACAATATCTCCAGGAATTAAATTCAATAACAAGTTAAGATCTCTTAGCTTTTACATTATAACTTAGAAAAAAAAAATGTATAATCAACAACTATGAAAATCAAATTGAAACACATTGAACATTTTATTTCGAGAGATTTTCAAGGAATTAAATAATAACTTTAATATTGTCTATCACTCCAACTTCTTCCACCATCTATATAACGATCGTAAATCACCACATGTGATTATTAGAACCATAAGTATTTTGATTGGGATTTCTGCCAGTTTGATTCCATCCACCTTGAACTCTACCTGAATTACCACGCTGTTGATAATCTTGACTATAATTTCCTGCAGGATCATTATAATCATAATATCCCCCACTTGATCTATTACCAGAGAATCCACTATTGGGACCCCCTCCAACTCTATTATTTCCATAAGTTGCTCCACCACTATTGCCATAATAATTATTAGTTCTTCCTCCTCCTCCTCCTCCTCCCCCTCCTCCTCTTCCTCTTCCTCCATAATTTCCTCCAGCTTCACCATAATTACTGGTAGCTTTAACGTTATAATTGTTATTTCCACCATAATTACCTCCACTGCTACCATAACCCGATTCATTTCTAGGATTGACACAACCACCTCCTCCGCTATTCCCATAACTACTTCCCATTCCACCAGTCCCATAGCCAGCACCACTCCCATAACTACCTCCTCCTCTATTATCACTATAACCTCCGCCTCCGCCTCCGCCTCCTCCTCCTCTACCTCCCCCTCTACCTCCTCCTCTTGCATTACCACCACGTTCACTGACATTGCCTCCTCCTCCTCTATTGTATCCACCACTAAAATATACAATTAATAATTAAATGTTTGCACTTTTCAATATAAGAAGTTAAACTTAATTAGTAGATTAAAATGTTGATTATAATCAAACCTGGATGGAGGTCCTGCAACTCTATCTTTCTGCCATGGTGGCATTTCTGGAGGAGGAGGTTCTTGTTCATAAGGTCTTCCTCCACGATCCGGAACATCTCCTATGATAACCTTATTTATGTTACTTCGAGTATTTTTACGTACAACTGCATTACTAGTCTTCTCTATCACTGCTAAATCATCTCGTGCTGCTAATAGATCAGCAATAACAACATTTGGCTTTATACCCATTTTTGCCCTTCCCGAAAGATATTTACTATTTAATTCCTTCTCCTGTATTCGCACTCTTTCTGACCACTACATTTCAAGTCAAAGTATTTTCCATTAACTATTTAGTTATTTAATTACTTTCATATGTTAGAAAAATAATTAATTCTTACCAGAAATGATTGAATAGTTACATCCAGTCGTTTAAGTAACATTTCTCTGCGCATCTCATATTCTTTATGCAATTCCTTATTATAATCGTAAAGTTTATTCCACTGATCGGTAGATAATTCACCAAAAATTAAAGGTTTACCCAAAAGATCATTAGGAACTTTTGATATTACATCTTTTAATTTAGTTTCTAATCTAGTAAATAACATTTGCACTGTAATATTATCCGGTGCTCTTTGAAATTGCAATGCTATCAACATCTCCTTTAGATGTCTTGCGGTATCACTTTCATTCTATAAAAAATCAATTTCTTCAAATTGTAAGTATGATATATTACATTTACAAATAATAAAAGATATATAATAAAGAAACATCTTAAATGGTAATATACTTACAATAACAACTTCTATACCCACATCAGTTTCTTTTTCATCAGCTTGCAATAATTTACAAGCCATAAGCTCAGAAACTAGAATTTCTATTAACAAAGTCCTACTTCCCTTTTCGGCTAATCTATTATTAATGTTTCCAGTAGTTAAATTTTGATTAACGCATCCTATCTCTTTAAGGAAACAACTCAACTCTAACAAGAAACAACTTGCGTCGCCTGAGTTATTAGTAGGATTAATAGTTTCATCTATATTCATTAATTTTCCTATTTGATCAGCAAGCCAAGAGACTAAGCTAGTATAATCGATAGATTTAGCTCCAAGCTCCAAGGCTTCAGACATTTTATCAATTTGGAGCAATGGACCTTGATACCTTTAAATAAAAAGATACATTGTAATATCAGATATTTGGAAGTTATACTAATGAAAAATAGAAAGAATAATATTTAAAGAGAAAATTTATTCGAGTTTTGTCATAATTCATATTTTAAAAACATGTAATCTGAATGTTAATGTCAAAAATATGTTGAAGATTTTATTTCGTAATCTTAAAATACATACCCGACATTTTCGAGCGCTTGTAATAAATTTTTTTCCATATCTAAAATTGTATTGTTAGATTAGTAGAATTAAAATAAAATTATTATAATATTATATAAAGAAAATAGTAACTTATTTATAAAGAAATATTGAACACAGAAAACAGACGTTTCATTCTAATCCAAGTAGCGGCGAGCAATATGGTCGTCACCGGTAAGATCGAAGTAGATGTCACTACGGTAGTACCTAATAATATAAATATATTAAATACAATACTTACATGATTTTATTTTTATTTTTTTTTTTACTAACAAGAGAGTTTAAAGTGGTTTAATATATAATTATCAAAAAGTAAATAATGTAATATAGGATAAATTTAAATAAAACTCAAAATAATTACAAAAGTAAAAATTTTCAAACTTTAGTGCATTACATGTACTTACATAGTTGAGCTTATATATACATACGTATAATTAATATTCATTATAACTATTATTTACATTTAAAATATCTCTTGGAAATTATTTTTGCATCATTTTACTAATATTCGTTGATAAATTTGAAATTTCCTTTTCTTGCAATCAATCTTTTAATTTTTTAAGGATTGAAAGTTTTTTTTTAATTTTTATAATTAATTAAACTTATTTTTTTTTTGTTTTCAAGTATTTGCACATTTCATAGATGTAGATACATTATCTAATCATGCTTTGGGAAATGTATTATTTATAGCACCATGCGTGTGTGCAATTTTGTTTAGAGAATGTGATTTAATAATCATCTTTGTACTACTTTATTCTACTAGATTTCTATATATATACGTTTCAACTATAAAAAGAAGATATTTTACGTAAAAAAAAAATTGATAGTGACTGCATACGATTTACGACTAATATAATAATAAATAAAAATACACTTTTCTTACTTTGAACGTAGATGATGAATAATATTGTATTAAGAAATAGATACAAGTCAGTCACTTTTGAAAAAAATATTTCAAGATCTGTACAATTGTGATTTACAGTAATCACTCTATTAATATAAAATATATAATGCGTTTAGATTTCTTTATAAATAGTAATATTATGTTAAATGCATGCCGCTGCACTAAAGATATGAAACAAATTTTTCAATTTGATTTGTTACATCATATTTTACAAACCTAAATATTTATATTATCATATAAACAGTACATTTTGTTTTTATATCAAAAGTGCACCTAAGTTACATGCCGCAGATTACTTTTTACAAAATAAATCTGCAAATATCTTAACAGTTTTGTACATATTAAACTAATAATATTTAACATTTTTTATTATAATACAGTCATTGATTAATCTCTTAACTGGTGAAGATGAATTAATAAATAAAAAGAATTTCTTTCTTATTCCCATTGAAAAATATTATTCTTATCAATTTTTATTTTTACTAAAGTTTCTTCTCTCTATCCGTATCATTTTATTTTTAATTGATAAAAATTTTATGTATTTATGATGCATACATACTGATTGAAAATTTTTCCCCAGTTTAAAGACAAACATTTGCTTCATAAAAGGATTCACATTTTTCTAATAAACGAAGAACCGGATTGATGTTATAAGGAAACAAAGCTTTAGACACTAATCTGTCGATCGCCAATCGAAGTCTTATTAATACTGTCATGGTCTCATCGAGCTCTCTACCACAACACGATACAAATTCTGACCAATTTCTTCTGACATACTTTAAGAATCTCAATAAGTATAATAAAAAACAAGTTTCATTACTAACAAGTAAATCTAATAAAACATCTCGATCATGCGACACAGCATGTATGAATCGTATAAATGTTAACGTCGGGCTAAGCATATGACCTAAATCATTTTGCGGCGGTCCTCTATAAAAAAGACCAACTGCCACATCGAGACAGCAAACCATACCTTCTATCAAGAAGTCATCTTGATCATGAAACATTTGTACAACCCATTGCGATAATGGCATTTCTGGATGGAAAGGCATTAATGTTTTGACGCATTGATCTAGCTGTCTTAAAACTTCTCTAATACTTCGCTCGATAACTGCCATATCAGCATCAAGATCTTCTGCTTCTGAACCCAAAGAAGAGTCACTAGAATCACTGCGGGTTTCCTTTACAGTCACTGCAACACTTTTTAAAACTAAGAGCACAATTTTTTGTAGAAGTGGTCTGTCTCCTTCACCAGAACCACCTCCAAATCTTCCAGACCCATGACGATATGGTAAGGAATCTAATAATCTCCAATCTTTAACGGCACGAACTATTATATGTGCTAGAGAGCAAGGTTCATCAGGTAAGACATCTTGTAGTGCTAATGTACTACCGTAACATAATATTTCATTAAACAATTTTAAAAGATGTCTCCAGATGATACATGGAACATTGGCATTCAGCAACGAAACCAAATTATCTAATTGACAATAGAAAAGCTTAGTATCGATAACTGATAAATTGGCTTTTACAGAAATGATTGATTCCCATAAATCTAAAAATGTTACAACAGCTGACTCATATTGCGGCGTGTACGAGGCGAGAATTGCATCAAACTTAGATACTAATATAGTCCATTTAGATTCTAATACTTTAACGCATGTAGCTTTTACCGTAGTACTATCAAAACTTTCTGTATCTGACAGTGTTATAGTATTACAATCAGACATTATATTGGCTGTCTCTTCTGATGGATGAAGGGAGCAATCTTTATGTTCTACCACTTTTTTCACAATATCCAAAGTGAATACCATTTGATTGGGAGAGTTAGTGTTCACTAAAGATTGAATAAGTCTCTCTAACCAAATGATTTCAACATTGTCCTTTGTTACAATAAAAAATGAAGCCAAAACTCTGCTTGCAACAAACGATATAAACTTATTGGTTGTACTGGAAAGATCAATTATCTGATCTATAATACCATGTTCATTTCGAGCTAACAGATCACAAATATCTGCAACTCTACTGCACATAACACCTTTCGTATTCTGTTTGATGGCCAAATCAAAAAGAAGCTGCAAGGCGCTTAGAAACTCCAGAGTTTGATCAGGTTCCCAGTCAGATAATACTATAGGACGAAAGCTACCATCAGCCATTTCCAATGTTGCTGTAGTAAGCGGTTTACGCAAGCTACCCTCTGGTATATTGCATAAACACTGAGCTAATAAACTGTTCTGAAAATACTTTATATCCGCGAAAGATTCAATTCCATCATTACTATTCTCAAGACGTTGTTTCTTCTTTGCGGGTTCCTCCATTGTGCTGACAGGAGGAAAATGAGAACAGCGCCAAAGCACCATTAGCAAATCTATTCTATCATCTACTTTTATCTCTTATATTTCTTAGTAACTTTTTATCAAGTTATCTTCATAATGCACATGATCTTCCAACAGGAGGAATAACACATCAATGTCAAATATGATCCGTTCCACATTTGCTTTCAGTAATTATATGCTTCATAGATCTATCATATAAATCCAGCAAATATTTGTTCTGAAAGAAAAAAAATGAATAATTATGTAAAGAATTGATATTACATTATATGTAAATGCGTATATATTTCATATTTATTTTATCAACAGTAATGAAACATCAAGAAGCCATAAAAGATTAATTGAAACTAGTGAAAACAAACTGTTTATCATATTTTATTTATAAAGTTTTGCATCTACGTTATATTTATGTTATATCCTTTTAACAAAACATATATGTATGATGCTTTAATAAATATGAAGGATAATTAAAAATATCATTGAAAATATTGAAGAAAAAGATAAAACAACTTACAAAGATGAAATTCCAAAGAGTTTTCTTTTCTAGGCAGTTCAACAAAGTATTTGTATGTCTAAGACACCATGTAATATATATATACATATAATTAGATAGCGATATTAATGCATTCACGTGTATCAATAGGACACGAGATATAGCCTTAATACATCCGGGTAGATAATAAATAGTCCAAGTGGTAGTAAAGATGAAAAATTGTGTTTGTTCATAGATGCATTTAAAAAATTCTAGCGGTGAAGTCAACTTTAATAGTGGTTGCACATGTAACGCATAAAACCGACGCTCCTTGTTATGTTACGAATAATTAGGCATAGGAAAATGTTTCACCAAAAATTTCGTAATCAAGTAAGCGTATATGTTGAAATCGTCGTTATTGAAGTTAATGTTTTCACTGTATTTCACTTGTTCAACGATATAAATATATTATTGTTTGTGATCGATGAAATTCTTTTGACTAGGAAGTGACTGGGCACTCGAGCCCAGCTTTGCTCTGTTGCCACGTATACATGCTACCGAGTAAAAATAATAATTCTGGATTTATTTAATACTGCGGACACAGTGTCCACATAAAACGTTTTATATCTTATATCGAGGGGTAAAATATTAACTCGATAATGCATAAGACACGAATTCTTCGTGTTTAAAATAATATTTTGAGATGGCATCATGCGGAGCTGCGTAACACAGTAGCTCCTCGTCGCACATTCCACAATCTACTGAGCGAGATTAAAAGAACCGCTTCAGTAATTGCTTCGAAACCGTTAGTAAACTTCATTAAATATTAATTGAGAGATTATTAGACAATTATTCTTATTAAAATTAATCCTGATTAAAAAGTCTCATAATAAATATGCAGGATGATCGGCAACTCTGTAGCGATTGTAGTGCCTCTGTCATATTGCGTGTTTATTAGAACTAAAAATGATAAAGATAGTCATTTATTTAATTTGATATTTTTATCTTATAAATCACTTTTTCTATTATTTTTTCTATAACGTTAAGATAAAAATTCATTCATTAGAAGTAAGTAATCCTTAACATGTATTCATTTAATATTAACATCTATTTTTGCGAATTTATTTGTACAAATTCATTTGCTATTTACATAAAAAAAATTAGCCAATCGGAGTATGTCAATTAAAAATTTGACGAATGTAATTGGTTCGCAAGAAGAACCAATCAAAATCGGAGAATAGTACGCTTCTTATCCTTTTTATACAAAAGTTGTATTCATCAACTGTTTGCTTTATCAAATATGGCGAAAGGCAGAATATAAAATGATAGGTGGTAATAAATTTTCTGAAGACCTTAGAAAATAGAAGAAAATGGTAACGAATTAGTGTACATATACATATTACATATGTAACAGAAAAATCGAAATATGAATGCTACCAAAGTATGTATGTGTTCACAGGTATGTATCAGTAATATACTTCCATGCATTCATATATATCGACTACATACATACTTTGAAAGTAATCGTCATTAAAATTTATTTTCATCAAAAGAGATTAATTATTTTTTTTTCTAAATCAATAATAATGGAGTAATAATGCGTTGTTATTTTCCAATTTTGGATGTGGAGCAATTAGAAAGTATTAAGAATAAAATGGACGAGTGTGTAGTCCACCTATATAAGTATATGATCATGGGGACTCTGAATGACGTAGGGATGCTATATATTTTTTTTACATAGGCCTGCCAGGGGGTCAAGCAAATTGTTGGGGGTTTGGAGATGGTGGCCATACGAGATGTTTAGTGATAATCAAATGGTGTAGATAATAAACAATTGAAGTCATTTGAAACAAGAAGTTAATTCGCGTCGGTACGGCAGGKATGCTTGAATCCGATCGAGGATTTATTTCGAAGCGATAAAGGAATACAAGCCTTTCACTTAAAATAGTCTGCTCACATGCGATAGGAATTTTTCGTAAGAAATATTAAGGAAACGGGAGTGTTCGACGAGGTTATATATCCGATGAAAATTGGGACAATGGTTGTTAGGATTAAAATCGTTTTAACAAATGATATTAACATATAATCGTAAAACAATAGAAGACAGATAGATCGAGCGGTTTACTGTCTCGAAGAGAAAATTGTCTTGGTGATTTTATTGAATTCATTGAGCGCGTATGCGGTGCCCTACCCCGTTGCACTATTTTTACACCTGCACTTTTTATTTACGCGTATTTGTTCTGTTGCATGTTTTAGCCAAATATTTTTGGCTATCTTTATAGTGGGTTACGTAATTTTCAACATGAGTTACTTTGATACGATGGTCGATGAGGAATTAAATAAAAGTCTATTGTTTTGCAAGTAGTAAAGCGTCGATACGTTAGTACGGATACGCATTACGCATCCTATCGTTCTACGGAATTGATTTCTGACGTCGTAACCAACCAACGAACAATATCACGAATTTTTCATATTTCACATTAACTAAATAGTTAGACAAATGTTTGCCCTAAGTGAGAACTACGTTTATTCTTAACTAGTGAAAGTGGTCTTATTTAGACATGCCTATGGAAGATTATTTACTTCAGGTAACATACGCATTTTTACACTTAATATATAGTTTCATTATTTATTTATTTATTTTTAATTGTATTATCTCTGATCTTTTATCTTTGATCTTTTATCTCTGATATTGTGCCACACAATATGTGCTGATTTTAAATTAATAATATATATTTATCTTAGATTTTAATATCCATTTAATAAGATGACAATATATCTGTTTATTTATATTTTAATTTTTCTTTAGTAATGTGCTTTGTTTTTATATGTATATATGTATTATATACATATAAAATAAATATATATGTATACATAGCTTGAAAATACATATATAAGGATCTTAGCAATCTTATGATATTAATGAAACTCCCATTGATTGTGAATTATATTATATTTAAATATACAAAACAGGATTGTACCTATTGTAAAACATTATTAAACCTTAATCTACATTTGTATAATTGTATGTGGTCCATTGTTTTTTCGCATATTTAGAAAGGAAAGCATTTTTAACAATGTGATAAAATATTGATATATTTTAGCAGTTGTGTCAGTACGTAATGTGGCAGTACAAAGACTTAATAAATAATAATAACAATGACAGAAGTACTATCCAAAGATTGTGGTGAACGTGGATTGCATCAAGAAAGAGATATGTCGGAATCTTCACAACATCATTACAGCCACCCTCCGCCCGATATTATGCCCAAAGGTCTTGCTATTAATGGTATATCGATTGATGATCATTTAATCAATTATCTAAATTATATATTACAAATGTTCTATGATATTATTAATATTTTTCTAGGCGTAGGGGGTAGGCTACGTCAATTAGAAGCTCTTTTTATTAGTGGCCCTGTACAAGGAGGGAAAGTGGGGCATACTTTTTCTATAGAAACCCTTATTGATATACTGCTTGTTCTATATGATGAATGTTGCAACTCTTCCTTACGACGTGAGAAGACAGTTTCAGACTTTATTGAATTTGGTACTTATATTTTTAAACATTATCTTTTTTCATACATTATAGTTGTTATAGATCCAAATTTACTCCAATACATTTATCGTATTATTGTTTTACAGTAAAACCAGTAGCTACTTGTATAAAGAGTTTGCAGTTGGCACGTGAAGATTTTGAAATAGTTAAAGTCATTGGTAGAGGAGCATTTGGGGAAGTATGTGTTGTAAGAATGCGTGGTTCAGATAAAGTATTTGCAATGAAAATATTGAATAAATGGGAAATGTTGAAACGTGCTGAAACTGCATGTTTTCGAGAAGAAAGAGATGTACTAGTTTATGGTGATCGCAGATGGATCACAAATCTTCATTATGCCTTTCAAGATGACAATAATTTGGTAATTATTATTATATAGTTTGCTTTATTTTTATAATAATTGATATCTTTTATATGAAAAACATTTATTTATTTAGTATTTGGTCATGGATTATTATTGTGGTGGAGACCTTTTAACGCTGCTAAGTAAATTTGAAGATCGGCTTCCTGAAGACATGGCTCGTTTTTACATAGCAGAGATGGTGCTAGCTATTGGGTCTATACATGACTTACGTTATGTACACCGTGACATTAAACCTGATAATGTTCTATTAGACGCAAACGGCCATATCAGATTAGCTGATTTTGGCTCATGCTTACGTCTTTTTGAAGATGGCACTGTGCAAAGTAATGTTGCTGTAGGTACACCGGACTATATTTCTCCAGAAATATTAAGGGTATGTTTTATACATTTTATCAACTGTATTATGTTTGATAATTATTTCGTTTAATAAACAAATAAATATTATTTAATGTTTAATGCACATTTAGGCAATGGAAGATGGCCAAGGACAATATGGACATGAATGCGATTGGTGGTCACTAGGAGTATGTATGTATGAGATGCTTTATGGAGAGACACCTTTTTATGCTGAATCTCTAGTCGAAACCTATGGAAAGATAATGAGTCATAAGGTAAATAAAAATATATATCTATATAATCATATTTTTATTATCCTCTACACCTTTACTAATTTAATTCATTTTCTTACTTATTACAGAATTGCTTCGACTTTCCTACAGACGATATATATGATGTTTCTGAAGAAGCTAAGGATCTGATGCGCAAATTAATTTGTACTTCTGAGTTTAGATTAGGTCAAAATGGAATTGATGATTTTAAGGTACAACATATATGTATATGTATTTTTCACAACTTTTTATTTATTTATCTTTATAGTTTAATAATAGATTGTATCTATTTATAATATAATTACATAAATTATTTTTATAGAAACATCCATGGTTTGATGGTGTGAATTGGGACACTCTTAGAGACAGTACTGCACCCTACATTCCTGAAGTTTCTTCACCAACTGATACATCGAACTTTGATGTTGACGATACGGATGTTCGTAGTTCCAATGCTGTTCCTCCAGCAGCAAATTCTGCATTTTCTGCCCTTCACCTCCCATTCGTAGGGTTCAGCTTTACACAAGGAAGGTAAAAGATAAATTTCATGTTTGATTTTTAATTGCAAATATACTTTGATTGTGTTACACCATTTATATTTTTCCATACTGTAGTTGCATCTCAGATTTAGGCTGTTTATCTGCATTGAATCAAAAGGATAAACATGTTCAGATGCTTGAAGAAGAAAATTTGCAATTAACACAGACGATAGAAGATCTTAAAAATCAAATTGCCGCAAACCATCCCTCGCCTGGCATTTCACCTGATTCTAACAATGCAACGAGAAAACTTCAAGATGAAATAAATACTCTCACAAAACGGAATTGTGGTAAGAAACAGCATGTTTATTATTTAAAAATTATCTAAATATATATGGTAGAGAAACAAATATATTTTATTATTATCATTAATTTCATAGAATTAGAATCACAATTGAAATCTATGGAGATACCTCGTGAACTACGTAGTTTAGATAATGGCGACTTAACTAAACTTCGTGAATTGGAAAAATTAGTGCGTTCGCTTCGTTCTGAGAAAGAAGAAGCTATTAAAGATAAGTTGGATGCGCAAGAGAAATTAAAGCTTCAAGATAAAGAATTGAAGGATGCTTTAACGCAACGTAAACTTGCCATGGCAGAATACACAGAAGTGACAGATAAATTATCTGAATTGAGACAACAGAAACAAAAGTTATCTAGACAAGTCAGGGACAAGGAAGAAGAATTAGAAGTTGTGATGCAAAAAATTGATAGTTTAAGACACGACATAAGGAAAGCTGAAAAATTACGTAGAGAATTGGAGAACAGAGTGGAGGAAGCAATGGCTGAAACTAGGAAAGAGAGGAAACTTCGAGAACGTAGCGAGGAATATTGCAGACAAATGCAAGAAGAAACAGAAA